GATCTCTGCCCGAATGGCGTTCAGAGTCTGTTGGAGTTCATCGAGGTAAGGTGTTTGAAATGCAAGGAGTAAGATGATAAGATGGATACTGATGTGTTGGCAGACATGTTGTCCACACATATCTAGGCCTTGGAGTCTACTAGAGGAAGGATGTACTGGCGAATCTGTTTGTATAGCCGAGTGAAAGGGGAAGTATTCGGTATTCAGAAACGTCGGGAAGATAAAAGTTGTCCATATGACACCGGCAAAGGCGGAGTGATGACACCTTTCTGCATAGTTTTATGTTTATTCAAAAACTCGATTTCATGAATAAATGCCCGAAAGTTTACATGTAAGATCAAATTCAATACAACTGGTAAAGTATAAGTTGAAAAACAGTAGTAGCGCTCGTGGTCAGTTGGTGATTCAGTTGGTGATATGTTTTATCCCGTCTTGGGAGCGATGTATATAAAACTATGGCACATATGATGCCCGAGAACAAGTGGTAAGAGTTCGAAAGAGTTTAGGAAGAAACGCGGAAGGACTGACACAGAATAGCCAGATACATCGCATGGTTCGGGAATCCTCCGTCCCCAGCTAAAATAGTGGTCAAGGTAGGCTGTGGGATCAATGGATATCCGATATGAATTTCCGAAGACTATTCTTTGACACGGTCTCTCATTTAGGCGTCTTCAGGGAACACGGTGCTTTCAGTAATAAGCGTCTAGGCCACCTCGTCGTGTTCGCAGTCGTTAAAGTCTTGCTTTAAATTAGATGAATGTTTGGTCTGTAGAAATATCGCGGCTTGATTGAAGAAGTGGAAACCACCGACTTCTCCCCAGTATTAATGCTGGCTCTCTGAGGATGACAACTGCCATGGCCGATACTGGTCAGAAGGCAAATCGATGCTAGTGGTACGAATTTCAATAGTGATACCGCGCTATCGAGGGCTCTCTTGACTCTGCCTTTCACTTCATTATGTGACTATTTTAGCTAAAAACTGTCCTGCTTCTTTCAGATGATAGTTAAAGAACTAATTCGCTGTGAATATTGACAGCATCTCGAAGCTTCAATGGCATTGGAGCTTGGCTCATCACAGTCATCATCGCCAATTACTTCGTGTTGCCTGGACCTGGCCTTTGCGTAGCGACACGTGAAGCTATAACCCACACACCGACTAGTCGCAGCTGAGTGAATACATGTTGCCTTAAGCCTGTATAGAAGTTACTAACCACGAATACACTGAGGTGAATACGAGTCAGTTGAATATGGAACGAATAACTATAAAACACCTAAAGTATCTCCATGGACAATTTACCGTTGGACCATGACGACAGAAACTTAAACAAATCTCAAATCAGAAATATGTGTTGGAAAACTAACGTTGAGCAACGCTGCAAAGGCTGCAACTATCTCCTACGTACAGGATTCAAGCTTGACAAGTGTGCCGAGTATGAGGAGCAAGGGACCTGTGAGAATGGTCTCAGGCAGCTGTCCCAGAGAGTCGAGCATGAGTGCAAGAAGTGTAAGGAGCTTCGGGAAGAACAGGAGCGTATGGCGGCGCTTCATGCGCTGCGTAAGACTGGGAAGTGATGGTGAGTGGCGGGGAGTCAGATATGAGAATCACCAATTTCATCTGCTATGCACCGGTAGTTGGGTCGGATTAAGTGAATTTGAGGTGAATTCCAATGAGACCACACTCTGAAAAGTCACCACAAAGCATTTGAATACAGTATGGACAGCCAGCTCTTCAGTCACTAGAAATAACTATAAGTACATGCATTCCCCTGAGATTAGAGTCGAGTCAGATTCCGAAGTCTCAAGATCCTGCTTTGCCTCCCCCAACAACTACTAGTTCAATCATCCTCCAACAAACCACCGGAATTCAAAAGCTTCTTAGCTCTTCAACACAATGTGCACTTACGAACATCCAGTATGGGTTTGTATGGATTGCGGTAGGCATACACCCGGCCGGGCCCATGTTACTGACTGTGCTTACCTGGTCCCTGGTCGGCGATGTCCAAGAGCCTATCATATTGAAAATGTTATTCGCTCTTTGTGCCCGAGATGTGAGGAAACCAGACGCAGGAGAAATCGTACGGGACGATAAGTGGGATGCCGGGTTTGGCTGTTCTGATACCTGGCCAGGTTAGGGGTAACGGGGCATCTTATCGGGGCCGATGGGTCCTTTTGGAAATAGTAGGTGAATGCGTCACTTGACCCGCTGAAGCCAATGCACTGATCAGTTTTAAATTTCTCTTAAGTGATTAAAAGTTCTCGACCACTCTAAATAACAGTGAGAGTGAGTGTGAGCCGAAAGAGAAGCCTTATCGCTCCAATGTAAGACAAAATCAGACAATTACCTATTCCGTCACTCGATCAACTACCAACTATGTCACTGAATATTTTTGAAGGGCTCGGATGAGCATCCAGCTAATTTACCACGTGATGAGGAATATAAATAGTTGCCAAGATGGTACATCGAACTTGAACTCCTACACCCAGGCAAAACGGTATTAACTTAAAGAAAAGGATGTGTATAGCAACAACACACACGCAGTATTGCGATGACTGCGGCAACTACATCGTCGACTGGTATACCTTTGATCAATGCGTAGATGCACAAGACCCCGAGAAAGGTTGCAAGGGCGTCACAAGAACTACAGAACGACATAGTGGAGAAATATGCGACAAATGTATAAAGAAGCAGCAAGAGGGGAGGAGGCGGTAGTTATAAGACTGAAATATCATGCCTCGAATAGGTACCTAGGTAGAGGTAGTTAAAATAAACGTTATTGCCAGAGAAGTCGTAAATGGAGTTGATGACAAGTGACTCGAAATTCTTAGCGGTGGTGAGTATCGGTTACTGCGCTGAACAATGCGTGGCAGTGATAAACAGGCAAGTGAAGTTTCATTTAGGCCAGTGGCTTTCACTGTTGGCTACCTATGGTGGCATGTTCAAACAACCTGCAGCTGTGAATGCGTTGCCCTCTCTATCGTCTGTTGATTTCACTGTTTCTTCTCAGCATCAAAACTCACTGTTTCTCAGATCCATCCAAAGAAGCCACAGGAAATCACCCACGAGCAGCATACTTCTTGAATCTCTACACAACCAGCATCGCATCTTCAGAGACCCTTGGAAACTATATCAGTATGACTTTGCCCCTTCCATCCAATATCCCCGAGCTCACTCCCGGAAACTGACACAAGCAGACCCTCACCAAGCCAAACGCTCCCCAAGACGGACACAATGTGTGAGCAAGTGAGAACAATCCGCCGCTGCACCGCCTGCAGACAGTACAAGAGCGAAATCATCCGCAACATCAACTGCGACAAAGTCTCCATCTACAAGCTCGGCCTCTGCCGCAACGGAATGAGCTATCGCAGCGTCACTGAACCGATCGAGTGCATTGATTGCCACACCAAGCGCGTGCGAGAAGTCGAGGCTGAGAGAAGGAGGCGATGGCTCGCGGCGTGGCCTGAGGCTGAGCCGGAAGTTGAGAACGAGAAGAAGGATGAGGACAAGGAGGAGAAGGAAAAGGAGGATGATGGTGCTAGTGTGGCGACGGATGATATGACGGTGAATAGTGAAGAGTCTTGGAATGTTGTTTGAGGGCGTGGGCGCGACATGACTCGACTACTCGGAGGGGTTGCGTTTGGTATTATGGAGTGCTGATTCAAGCGATTCGGCCGTGACACCTGGTAAAGGGTAAGACGCAACTCAGCTTTCACGCTGTGAGTCATGAACAAGGAAAGTCTGTGATGGCTCTCCAAACATGCTGTTGCATGATCGTGTTTGACTGTTGTTTGTTTGTGTAAGGTGATGGACAACGCAACAGTGATAAAGGCCATCTAGAGATGGTTTCTCAGTAGATCCGCAAAAGGGCTCTGAATGTAAAGTCTTTGTGTTTTTACGCTCATGGTTAAATGTAATCACTACTCCCGTAATCACGCCTAGCCACACGGTATACCACGCTTCATTTATAAATAGCACAGCCCCTCGGTTACAATGTAAGGTTGCTTCTTCTACTCTCCAACAACTATATATCATACTAAAAGCCCGAGCAGACTACGAGTCCCGTTCTGGAGTTACTTAACTCCACCTCATTTAATATTCAAAGGGAGACTTAAAGCGGAAGATGTGTATGAAGAATACTAAATTTAGAGAGTGCAGATGCGGAGCCACGTGGGATGAGGTCATATCGTATACCACATGTGATGAAGTCGACGCCGACAAATTGGGACAATGCAGTCTCGGACTTGAAATGACTGAGACAAGGATTCCAGCTGAATGCAGTGTTTGCCGAGAGAAGAGAGAGCGTGAGGAAAGAGAACGACGAGAGAGGTTGAATGGTATTGGTGGAAGACATGTTTCCTTTGATGATGATGTAGTGGTGATCACATATAATTGAGGAAAATATGGTTCATAAATCGTGGTTTTAGTAAATACAAGTCCTGAAACTTCAGCAAGCTGATAGGTTAAGACAGGAACTCGACTAGAGAAATTACTCTGAGTTAATATTGATACTCCTTGTTGCGGGATTATACCTCATCAGCGTTGTTGAGACGGTAATGCCCCCCTACCTATTAGCCATGAGACAAAGAAGATGACTTATCTTGTTACCTTGTTTCACCATTGCTGTTCCGCTTCATAAGAGCCCCTGGGGGTAAAAGCCTTGCCTAGTTGAAGATCGTGAGAGTTTCTGCAGTCAACCTAGTGCGGCTGAGTATTTCTAGCGCAGTTATCAAGGCCATCTGGCCTATCGTAGGTATTGTAGTATTACACTCTGGGCTGAGAATGGTTCCGCGTTAGCCGCTGTGGCGCATCAAGGCTGATCAGATTGGGGGGATGTCCTAGGAAGCCCAGGCTAGCAGGGGTCTTGGTGGAAGCATCCATTCCTTGTCTTCTCGTTAGAAACTCTTGTTATACCTACACACATTTCGCGAGTCAAGTATCAAATCTTCAAGCAGCACTATTGAACCCGTCACGTTGAAAGCGACTGCGGTCTAGGCTAATCGACATGCACTCAGCAATTGTCAACCTCTCTTCAGAAAAGCCTGGTCAACATGTCGAATCATCGGAAAAATCGCCCGAGACCGACGACAGGCTTGCTTATCTCAAGGCGGCTGACGACTGGCTTCTTCAGCATTGCTACAGCAAAGAGAACCTCGAAATAGAGCGACTGTCAGGCGAGCGACTCCCTCTTGAACAATGCTACATCAATCTCATGGTTATACCTCACGCCAGGAACCAGACTTCTCGACTTTCAAATCTCGCACCCAGCAACAAATCAAAAATCTGTCCTTGTTTCGGCGTTTAAATGTCCAGGGTCCAGAAGGCGGCGTCAGAGTCAGATTTCACGACCTGTTCAGCGCCGCGCGGGCTCACGGCGCGGCATCCAAACACTCGACAAGAATTCTCATTCGTGGCCAAGCTGGTGTAGGAAAAACGACGTTCTGCAAGAAAGCTGTTCACGACTTTGTGCAGGACCAGGTCTGGAGGCAACACTTTGATCGCATTCTTTGGGTTCGACTACGCAACCTGCTATCACGAGATGGAGGAAACAACCTCAAGGAACTCTTTTGTGATGAATTCTTCTCGCAGCATCCAAAATGCAGCAAGCTTGCTGGAGCGTTGCAAGACGCGTGTACTGACCCCGCCGGCGGTAAGACATTGTTTCTGCTCGACGGCCTGATGAGGTCTGGCATTTGTTACAGCCCGGCGATGATCTCGCAAGATTTGTCATATGCCTTCTCAACCAACCCAACGTACTGGCACTATCTCGTCCCTCTGTTCCAATCCGATCTTGCATACAGGCGTTTGATCTAGAACTCGAAATGATCGGCTTTGGGACAGATCAGGTGTACGAATACGTTAAGCACATGGAGCCCGAAAGACACAAAGAGATTCAGACATTCCTCTCGTCTCGCCCGCTCATCCAAGACCTCGTCCGTATCCCCATTCAGCTCGATGCCCTTTGCTATGGCTGGGATCAAGTTTTCAATCAAGGCCCTGAGACCATGACGGACCTCTACCAATCGATCGAAAAAGGTCTGTGGAGCAAGGATATCGGGCGATTGGGAAAGTCAAGGATTAGTCTAGCTTCAACTGAGAAGGATCAAGTTTGTGACAAGGAGATTGAAGAACTGATCGGCGACGAAATAAGAGTTGTTGAACAACTCGCGTTTACTGGACTGTGTAACAACATTGTCGAGTTCCAAGACAAACACGTCAATATCATTTGTCGATACACCAGCACACAATCTACCTTTGTCAATAATACCTTACCAAAGCTTTCATTTCTACGGACCTCAGACTCTTCAGTGGGAAAGCCGAGTCGTACCTATCACTTCCTACACCTGACTCTACAAGAATACTTCGCTGACCGGTACTTTGTGCGCATCTGGTTGCAACATAACAAGGCGGATCTTGTCTGCATCAACTTCAACCCAAATGCGAAATGGTATGCAAGGGCCTCGTCTCACACAGCTACAAAGCCGAGGGACTTCCTTTCCCAAAACAAATACTCATATCGCTACAACATCATGTGGCGGTTTGTTACGGGACTGTTGCATTCAGGGAGGAACGGCTCCGATGAGCTGGCGTTACAGTTTCTCCAAGCCATCGACACTAAGCCACTCGATCTGATATGCATAGCCCATCAGAGACTGACAATGCATTGCCTCGCGGAACTGCGTCCTTCAATATCATCGGAACGACTCAAAAGTCATAGAAGCCGCCTTGAGGTTCATTTAGTGAGATGGGTTATTTTCCAAGCTCAAAGCAGGAAGCTCCAAGAGGGTACATTAGCCGACGAACCCGAGTTCCCCAGCAAGGCATTGTTGATACTATTGCAAAAGGAGGATCCAGTCACCTTCAGAGCCGCTTTGATGGCTTACAAGAAGAAGATGAGGTCAGGGCCTCGAGTCCCACTAGAATTCGAGCACGTCTTGACATGTCGGCTCAGAAGGGCTGGGTCGGAGAAAACACAAAAGTATGGCGGACCCGTGCTTGAGAATGATGTTTCTACGATAATAAAATCTCTTGGTCCGCCGGAACACTGGACAGAAAGCGTAAGCCTTGCACTGAGTCTGAGTCTTGAGAATCGGAACCCTTGGGTCACATCTGGTGTCCATTCTGCGCTGAGCGATCATCCAGAGATTATAGCGACCCATATCGAAGCTATATCTGCCATTCTTGACTCTGCCGATACTAGTCTAAGATGGCGGACCGTGGTAAGGTTGAGCAGACAGAAGAACCTTCCCCAGTCGACTCTTGATCGCATGGCAAAGTTTCTATGCAGACCAGAAGAGGCACGCGTCGCAAGAGAGAGGATCCTTGACATCCTGACAGCTGAATCTTACTGGGCGAAGTACCTGACTTTGAAAGCGACAGAGGATCAAGGTGGTGAGAAACGAAGGGACGACGTGGATCTCGTGCAGACTGGACTGAAGCTCATCGAAGACGATTACCTGGAGACTGCTGCTATTGCAACTTTGGCACTTGGCTACCAAGACCAGCAACTACCGAGAAAGGTTATCAAAAAGATCTTGGCGAGCCTTTTGCGAGATGATGTAGTCATCAGGCTGGCTTCTTTGGATGTATTAGCTCGACAAACAAATCTTGAGATTGAAGATCTAAGAGCTGTATCTGATCATCTGGATAACCCAAACAGCACAGTTCAGCTTGCTGCCGTCAAAGTACTTGAGGGTCGGGCCTTTGGACATCAACTCAGAAATACGACTGGTAGCGGAAAGGATCCTGAGATCCCAGGAGTCTCTATCCGAGAGAGTGATGGAACTTATGATATGCTGTTTCAACGATGAGACGACTGTACCGCAAGGGCGCCAAAAGCCCTTATTTATCCCTGGAGGGTTCTCGGACGTTATGCCGCCGTTCCCTGAAGCGGCACTCAACAAGGTCATCCCGTATCTTGGATCTGAATATCAGAAGATTCGGCGGGGGGCGCTATTATTGTTAGATGGTCAATCTAAACTTCCCGAGACAGTGTTGCGAGCAATTATTGAGCGTCTGGTGGACGACTACGAGCCCATACGTCGACAAGCGATGAAGACCTTGGAACGTCACCGACTGGATCTAAATGAACGACTTTACTCGGCTATAGAGTCCCATCTGGATGTCAAAGATGAAGCGAAAAGAGACTTGGTGTTTCAAACTGTTTACAGAACAGCCAGATGTCCAGAGACTGTGCTGCGAACTATTGAAAAAGCTCTACATGACAGGGATCATCTCATACGACTCAATGCTCTTACATATTCGATCCATCACCCGGAAATTCCCGGCAGACTTGATGAAGCTGTGGCAGCCTGCTGCGAGGCCCTAACACACAAAGAGCCCAAAGGAAGGGATTGCATGATCAAGATGCTTACTCGTGAGAACAAGAGATTCCTGCCCGACACAAGAACCCTTCACGCTCTTGCATAATTCCTCGGCGACGACGACGTGAAGATCCGGCGAGATACAATCAGCTATCTATCCCGGCATCCAAACGTGCCGCCCAAGATAACCGCGCGGATATTCACCAAGATGACAGCGTTTCAAGAAGACATATTCCAGTACAATTCATCGGCCATTCTCCTACAGCACAACGACGCCTACGGAGCGACGTTGGCGAGAGCGGGAGTAGATGAACAGCTAAAGTTTCTTGTCGAGAGGTCTGACACGATGCATATTGCGTGGTATGTGAGGGACAGGCAGAGCTTGATTGAGACGGGTAGTGGGGTCATTTGTAGGGAGTTGGAGAATCCGAGGGCTTTTGTGAGTGCAGTTGAGAAGGCGAGGAAGAAGGCGGATATGCCTGATGTTGTGGCCTCTGAGTGTGCCGTGGCAATGGATGGGCTGAGTGGTGACTTTTATTAAAGTGAGGGATTCTCAAGAATAAAGTAAAGTCCTATTAAAGTCTCCTCAACTGAGGCTGATTTGACTAAACATTCTTGTTGCTTAGGATTGAGGTATGTAGACTTCTTTGGCCCTAGGAGAGCTGTATGGGTTTCATAGGCCGGGTCACTCTTGGGTTATCAACGTTAGGATGTCGTCCCTCACCAGGTGGATCTCTCTACAAGGATCTCATGAGCCATTTTGAGATTAGCGAGGCGGTTTGGTGACATTAAAGGCTTGATCCTTTGACCTCCCGGATGCGGGATAATTGCCTGGGCATTGGATGGGTTTCAACACAATTGCAGGTTTTACAATTAGATAACCTCCTCTAAGCCTTGTTCCTTATCGTCACATCACCATCGGAGGCCTAATTTTGGAATTCTCTGCCTTGCCCCCAGGATCACGGCACGGTGCTGCGCCCATGCACTCAGCCCTGTCAGGCCTTGCTCAACATCCGCGTCTCTTACTGGCTGTTTAGCGACACTTCAGCATGGGTGATGCTGACATTCTGGTTCCCTCCGTTCAACATCAACTTTAATAACTCAAGCCCATCCATGAAACTTGAGGAGATCTCTCGTAGTAATTGAATCCATTTTGAAGCAAAATGGCATCCCAAATGAAAACATGTTTTGTTGAGCGCAAGGATGTCATCCAGGTCCATGATCACTGTCCCGAGCGTCCCTACATTGAGTTGGAAGTACCGCAAGATGCAAAGAGAGTCACTGCGGTTACTTTCGGTGGCATATCTCGCGATCAAGGTCAGTACACAGATATTTATGTCCATCAGGGGTAACTAACATGATATACAGGCTGGGCAGACAGATCAGAAGCAGTTTCTTACACCTGGTGGGACGCTTCAGTAAAACGTCCTGAAGGACGTGGAGATCTGCGCACGATTACTGTACTCAACAACCGCCTGGCAAATGATGAACCCCAGAATTGGTCTGACAGGTGGACTGTCTTCCATGGACCTAGACGAAGACTCTGGATTGAGGCACTTCGACCTGGCGATCTCATTCAGCTGATTCCTCGAGCTATGTACATGGCTTGGGTAAACATCATCGATGAGGGAAGCATCAAGATTGAATATGAACCTAAGGAGTTGGAGGAAGATCTTCAAGCCCTGCAACTTACCTCAAATGCTTCGCATTATGCTGGGGCGTTGAGTATCGAAAGGCAGGATATTCGACTTCTCCACGTTGAGCCAGGAACCTTTGACGATCCGATCCGATGTTCTTTTCGCTTAGCAAGCTTGAAGGAAGTCGAGTCGAAACGGATCGACTTCCGCGCACTGTCGTATTGCTGGGGAGATCCTACTGAGCGAGAGGATATTTTCTTATCGAAAGAGGGTGACTTCGGCAATGGAAAGGAAGGGATGCCTTTTAGTATTGGAAAATCTGCTGCCCAAGCACTTCGTCGGTTGAGACTAGAAGGAGAAACTCTGGTTATATGGATCGACGCCGTATGCATTAACCAAGATGATCTCGAAGAGAGAGCCCAGCAGGTCACGCTCATGAGTCAGATCTACTCATTGGCTTCCGTCGTCCATATCTGGCTGGGAGAGGATAATCATGGCGTCGAAGCTTGCTTGAAGCTTATCCGAGATATCTGTAACTCAAACTCCAGACTATGCCAAGGCGGCGAACAATGTTCTTGTGCCGGGACAGCCCATTCGACTCCACTTGAGGAGATTCGGGCGTATGAGCAGAGCAAAAAGGATGAGGGGAAGGCCATCTCATTCAAAGGTATGTTGGAAGTTTTCGACATTCACTTGAAAAACTGGACGAGGGAAATTATCGATCTTGCTGGCTGGTATGGAAACACCCAACTATCATTCCTTATGAGCACTCTTTACGAAAACCCCTGGTTTTCCCGAGTCTGGGTGATTCAAGAAGCCCTATCAGCGAAAAGTCCCTTCATCCACTGCTCGGGAGAGCAAGTCCCCTGGGAAGAAGTGGTACAAGTCAGCAACTGGCTTGAGAACCCCGGATACTCCAGTCAAAACCCCCATATTGTCTCCCAGCAGATTTCCATGGCGGCTATTTGGAAGACTTTGAAACCAAAGGGAAAGACTACGGAGGTTCTGACTACTCCCATCGAAGCACAAGATACGAATGAGTTGTCGAGTATTCTTGAAGTCTTTCTTTCGGGTCTCGATCTCAAAGCGACGGATCCTCGAGATAAACTGTTTGCTCTACTCACTTTTGCAAACGAAACGCACGATACTACGAAGTTGGATGATTTGATTCGACCCAACTACGACAAGTCCAAGGAGAGAGTATTTGCTGACTTTACGCGCTGGTGGATCCGAGAGCACAACTCAGTGGCTATCTTATCGTCTATCCATTGTCAACCTTCACGCACTTGGGTAAAGATTCTGGGGCCCAAAGCCCAAGATCCAATGACGGACCTACCAACTTGGTCTGTTGACAGCAAAGGAAGTTCAAGACGGACTCAGGCCAACTTGAACGCCCGCTTCAAATTCAAAGCAGCAGGCGATACGAAGCCAGATCTTGAGCTCCTAAAGACGGACGATCCTCTTGTTCTTCGACTTTCAGGTCTTCACATTACTGAGATTAGGAGCATCAGCCACGCACCCATTGAGTATATCTATCCTTACCAAAAGCCTGTCGAAGAGCAAAGCGAATTATCCCAAGTCTTTGATAAGATTTTCGATCCCTGTGCTCTATCACCGTTCCGGTCAAGAAACCTGACTGCAGATGGTTTCAGAACAGAAAGCAACGAGACATGCAATATGAAATATCTAGATCATATGCGGGCTCACTGGAATTACCGCTCGCGAGAACCACTTGAAGTGCTGAAACCAAGCGCGGGCAAGGATTTGGAGCACTACAAGACTAATAAGCTTCCGACGTGTATGGAACCATGTTTCTTTGTAACGACTTCGGGGTTGTTTGGATTATGCCCTTGGAGGTCGAAGGAGGGAGATTTAGTTGTGTTGTTGGATGGTGGTAATGTGCCGTATTTATTGAGGCCTATTGGGGAGGATAAGTTTGAGTTGGTTGGGGAGTGTTTTGTTCAGGGGATTATGCATGGGGAGATATTGCAAGGGTTGGCAAAGCTTGGGAATGGGCTTGGGAAGAGGCAGGTTTTCAGTATCGTTTGAGGATCTATTTATAAGCGAGCGATTTCATAAATTGGTACGGAGTAGTTATTTCGATTTTGAGACTGTTATTCTGAGATGAATAGTCTAAACAGCGTATATGACGGGTTAACCAGAGAATTAATTTCGAACGCTATCGAGTCACTATACAGAGTAAATTCCGCCATTACAAAGAAACCAAGCCCCTCATGATCTCAAGTACCTATAGCCATAATACCCAAGGATACTCGTCCCTGTTACAGCCGTCGTCAAAATGAACACCAGACTCGTCACAATACCCTGCTCAAAGAACCCAAGCTGCGTTCCCTTGAGCTTCCGCTTCATCTCAGGAAGTCTCTTGGTAGCCTCTTGATCCAACACACTCAGCTCTCTGGTTGAAGTTGCGTTGACAATCTTGTCGAGTTTGCTGTCAGTGGCAGATCTGGTGAGATACTTGGGCTTTAGGCGGGAGAAGAGATCTTGGTGGTAGATGTCGTTGGTTCCGGACTGGGGAGGGATGCCGGAGGGTGCTGTTGGGGAGTCTAGGCTGTTAGTGTTTATTTGTGTGGGAAGGGGGTTGGGACTTACAGAGGAGTTTGGTGGGGATGTGGTTGACGAAGCTGACGGCTGTATCGACGAATTGGCATAGATACTTGGCCATAGCGGGATTGGTGAAGATATAAGCAGCAGCCAGAGATCCAATACTAATAAAGTCAGTCGTCCGTAGCTGAAGAATGAATACGGTACATACTCTCTGGAAGTATCAATAGCATCGTCCATACTCGTAACAGCATGCACAATAAGCGTTGTCTCATCAACCTTTTGGTTCAGCAAATTCGACTCCCTGCTCTCAACATCCAGAATCACTCCGTTCGACCCAGAAAGCACAACATGCACAGAATCATCCTTCTCAACCTCCTTCGAGAGCGCTGATTTAGGAGCCTTGGACTTGTTCGGCGAGTTAGCCAAAAACTCAGTGCTTTGCTGCACAAGAGCGCGCAGTAAATCCTTCTTGACCCATTCGTTGACGAGGACTACGTCAGGGGCGTAGGGGGCTCTGCCTTGCAGGCTGAAGCGTGCTGAGACGAGAGCTTTGGCGGCGGCTTGGATGTCTGCGTCGCGTTCCACGAATGCTACGACTGGTGCTTCGGGGTCTGAGACGAGGTGATCTTTGAGGATTGGGCCATCGGAGCCGTTTTGTGAGACGCGGATGTGAGGGAGGCTTATGTCTTGTGTTGTGACTTCTTGGTTTGAGACTGTGAAGATATCTCTATCCAAAGATTTGGCGATCAGATCTAGCACGATCTTGGGTGTTTCCCGTAGTGAGTTTTGAGCCTACACGCATTAATTTCATATTATTTCAAAATTTTCACAAGAAACTTACCTGTACAATGATACAGTTTCCAGCCGCAAGAGCTGGCGCCAACGCTGCGAGCAATCCATAAAAGAAAGCATGATACGCGGGTTCAATGACAACAACACCGATCGGTTCCCGACAAGTGATATCATCATGACCCTTGGTAAGCGCGTACTCATCCTCAGTCGCCTTGACCGGATCAAGCGACTCATGCGCTTCAGCAATAGCCTGCAGAGCAAGCCAATACTCAACCTTCACCTCAGCAGGTTGGTGTTTCGTATCTTTCGCAATAGCATCTTGGATCTGGACAGCTTTATCCGCCAACGCAGTATGAAGATTCCGCAATTGATCTTTTCGGTAGAACGGGTTGTGAAGACGCCCGTCAATGGCTGCTGATCTAATAGCTGCGAGTGATTTCGACATTGTGTAAATAGTGAGAATGATAGGGCACTAAGCTGATGTTGGAAATTGGAGATGTCAAGTAATATGGTCAGGTACTTGAGGACCCCTATTTTGATACTCAGAGCTCAAGACTTGGAGGGACAAGTTGGGGTTGGCTCCGGGGACCCCGGATTCCACATCGGTTCGGGTGAGGGCGGTCTCGGGGTAGTACTCCTCCACATCCCGAGTGGAGGTCTCATCAAACGATAATGCCCCGAATCGGCCGGTAGAGTTTTGAACGGCAGATGACAAGATGCAACGTCAGTAATTTCACCAACAAACACGTCTATCAATCAACTCCAGCTCCAGAATCTCACTCAACTTTTACATTCACATCAAACATCTCATCTTTCACCATGTCGACCACTACAGTAACTCACACCCAAAACGGCGATTTTCACAGCTCCATCCTCCGCGATTATGAGCTTCACCATTCTCAAGCCCGCGAGGAATCGCCTGATTGCCGAACATCGCCTGTAACGCACCCGGAGTTTGATCTGCCGCATCGTCGTGTGCCTGAGTACAGGCCGCTGAATCGAGATGAGGCGCATGTTAATGGCGTTCGCGTCTATACGAGCCCGGCTGAGCGGTTCTTCATCACTGCCATGTTTCGAGGTCTAAGCGTTAATGCTGTAAGTAAGAAGAATGGTGATTTTTGAATATGAGCTGACTTAAGAAGGGCGCTGCTCAGTATTGGAGAGCGTCAATTGGGAAGTTTACGGACAAGGTTTGGAAATATCAGATTGGAGGAGAGTTTTAGACGGAAGTTGAAATACGTGAGGGTCGGAGTTTGCTATTGAATTTCCTTTGTTAGTTAACCATATATCAGACATATTGAATTATTGCATTTTTCCAAGTTTATTATATCTGTCCAACTTATCAATTCTCTTATGAGAGACAGCTCAAGTAGTCAAAGCTAGACCTAGGGGCATTTATATCGTTTGAATAGGATTATAAAAATCAACCCTATAGTTAGCGTATCCACAAAGCTATATACTACTTTATATTTTTTAACAGAATAACAGAGACTCAATTCTTCATACTTGACTCACTTATAGCATTGCACTCAATAGAAAGATGCCAAACATCATGATTATATTTACCCTCATTCTTAAGCCAAAATCAAATCTATCTACTCGGAAGACTTGACACCCTCCATGTCTCCATAGTCCTCACCCAACTCCTTACCCCCAACATCAGGCTTCGTCGACGGCAAAAGCACATACAACATCCTCGCCCACTCCGTCTCACTCGTATTCCTCCACGCATGCATAGTCGCCCTCTGCACACAGACATCCCCCCTCTTCAAGACCTTCTTATCCCCCGAGTCCAGAATAAGCTCCACCTCGCCCTCCAGCACAACACCGTAGTCAAGACTCACAGTGCGATGCATAGGCGAAACGTGACCTGGGCACATATCCACATAGCGGAGGACAGTGCCGGTTGAGATGCTGAGGCCTGGTTGGTCGGTCAGGAAGCCTTGGTAGGATTCTACGTCGGCGTTGTTGGTGAGCTTGGCTGGGATTTCTTTTGTGGCGTAGCCTAGTGCGAAGTGTGCCTTGCCGTCTGGGAGGGCGTAGAAGGGTGCGTCTGAGCTGATTGATGTGTCGATTATGGCTTTGCCTTCATCGTTGTGTGTTGTGATGATGCGTTGGGTTTGTCTGAGTTTGCCGTTGAGAGCCATTCTGAAGATTTGGGTTTGACAAATTTAGTATTTGCTGATGGCGACAAATAATTGGTTCTGTAATTTGTTTACTGGAATAGGCTATGAAAGCGTCGTATTCTATTTCTTCCCATCATTTTATGTTCAGTGCCGGATATACGACTCCATTTCTCGCATAACCCCGGGAACGTTCCGCTCGATTTACTCATCGGGATGTGGACGACACCCATGCCAACCGATGCCGATCGTCCACCTATCGTTCGGGGTTCGGAATTAAGTTATCGGGATGGGACAGGTTAATGGTTGATAATATGAGACCAGAACTGAATTGATGGGAACTGTCACTTTGATCATCTGGACTGCAACAATTTGAATGAACACCTATAATCCACCTGTTCAGAGAAACAAACACGATGGCATCTACTAACTATGCGCACCACTTCACTGAGAAGAACATTCCTTTCGGAATAGCTTCATCACAGTCTCACAAGACTCCTCAAGCTGTTACTAGGCTTGGAAACACCGTGATATTCCTGAATGATCTCGTCGAACAATTATTCAAGAATGTTGATGGCCTTCCTCAGGGAGTATTCAACGAAGAGACTTTGAATTCCTTTGCCGCTCTCCCCAAAACGGTGCATCAGAATATCCGAAAGAAAATCCAACAAAGCTTTCAAAATAATGGCCTTGATGGGTTCCCCTCAAGCAGCCAAGAAGACATCAATGATGTGACGATGCATTTACCAGTAGAAATCAAAGATTTTGCAGGTATGAACAACCCCTCAGCCCCTTTGAATCAAAGCTAATTTTCAAACAGACTTTTCCTGCTCTCTTGACCACGTCATAAACGCAGGCCGTATAGTAGTCAACAACGGAACGCCGCCTCCCGGCTTCTTCAAGTTCCCAGTTGGTTACCAAGGCCGAACAGGCTCTATCGTCGTTTCAGGAACGGACATTGAGCGTCCTTATGGACAGTTCAAGAACCCTGCTGCACCTGAAGGAGACGATCCTATTACTTATGCGCCGTCTCAGAAGGTTGATTATGAAGTTGAGCTTGCTGCTGTTGTTGGAAAGTCGTTACCTATGAGGAAGAGACTTCACGCTAAGGATGCTGAGGAGCATATCTTTGGTTTTGTGATTCTTAATGATTGGAGTGGTAAGTACTTGGTAACACTAGAGGAGAAAGGAGCCTAACATCTTTAGCTCGTGATATTCAAGGGTTTGAAATGTTCCCTCTCGGCCCTTTCAACGGCAAGAGTCTAGGAACTTCCATCTCTCCCTGGATCATCACTCTCGATGCTCTAGAACCCTTCAGAACAAAGCCCCAAGAACAGAAAGCTATATCAGCTGCATACCTCCAGCATCCCAGCCCCTCAACATTCTCCATCACACTGAAAGTTGACGTCTTGGCAAACAACACCACCACAACTCTTGGTGTTTGTCCAGTTGAGTCTCTATACTGGACTCCTCAGCAGATGGTCGCACACTCTGTTAGTTCGGGCAGTGCGCTCAGGACCGGTGATCTTCTGGCTACGGGTACCGTTTCTGGTTCTGAGGAGACAAGTCGAGGTTGTATGCTTGAGAGTACAGAGGGAGGCAGCAGGCCTGTGACTTTGAGCGATGGGTCCAAGAGAGGATTTCTTGAGGATGGTGATGTTGTGAGGATAACAGGATCTGTTGGTGGAGATGAGTCGGGTGTTGGGTTTGGAGAATGTATCGGTCAGCTTACAGCTGCTCGGCCATATTGAGATCCCATACTATAGATTAGCTAAGGCATAAACTATTGTTTCCATTCAGAGAGCCTAAACTTCAGAGAGCCTAAACTTCTTCTTACATTAATGACTGGTTCAGAGCGCAAAAGTCTCTTTTCTGTTCGAGACATAGGTGATCTACCTCAGTATCTATATACCTTCAAGCTGCTTCAATTACCGTTAGATAATTTCTTGAAGGCCGCTACATGTTGATCACACCAATAGAGATAGTTATGTCTCCAAATATCACCAAGTACAGTAAGCTAAAACAGTATACAACAGAATATCTTGCTATGAAATGCTAAATGAGTACAGAATTTAAACTCGCTATTCAACCCTTCTAGCATGAGAAAAGGCATCCACACCCCTTCCATACTCAACCTTACTCTTAACAATACCATAAACAGGAATCTGAGAGAACCCAGTCGCGATATGGTTCAGCGTAGGCAGACTATCCCACGTACCAGCTGTAAGATCCAAATCACCGCCACTTCCAACCAACGTCTTCTCAACCTGTCGCTTCGTCGTCTCCAACCCATCCTCGATAAAGACAGGATACGCGGCGTCTGCAACACCAGGCTGGCCGACTGCGGGCACATATCGGTAAAGCAAAAGTCCTTGCTCTTCTGGCAGAGGGGGGGCACCTGGGGGGCCAACAGTCGGGGGGTGGCCGTTTGTGCCGTTGACACCATTGGTATGTCCGTTGGTAGCCTCGCCTAGACCCTTGAGTGTAATATTGACGAATTCTGCTCCTCGCCAATTACAGCGGATACTAGTGTTGGCTCCCTTCTCCACGACATCGATATCACAGAAGAGTTTAGGCATGCCCAGCTCCTCACGGCCCGTGACGATAGGATCAGCCAAGTTCTCCAGAAGCACAGCTAGGAACGATCCATAGATCTTGCTACCGTCCTTCTTCTCATACTGAACGCCATGGATCCAAAGACCAAAGAACTTGTAACCGCCACCACCAAGCCACTTCATATCCTTCAGCTCCGTGCAGGAATATGTGGCTTCAGCGACAGTGCCCGGCTTGTAGAAACTAAACCGGTCTGTGGGGAAGAGGGTCTTGAGGTATGTAGCCGAGGACTTGAAACGGACAGACCAAGTAGTGAACGAAGAGTCATTGCCGCTATATAGTTGTCCATGGAAATCTTGTCGGGGACTGGGCATGGGGCCGAATGACATAGGTGACTTCCAGCGGATATTCTTATTCTGAGACCAGAGATGATCTCTGAGAACCTTCTTGGTGTTATGCCACTCATCGTGGCCGAAGTTGTAGTTGAGGAATTTGTAGACTGGATGATTATCAGTTTTGAGTATTCGTGGCTGAAGATATAGGTTACTTACTGTTGAACTTGGCGCGGGTCTCCTCATCGAGATCCTCGCCTGCTTGTCTGGTGAAGAGCTGCACCATATGAGCTCTCTCATCTCTGATCTTCTCGTACAGAGAAAGACGACTGGGAATTTCATCGGCTGTTGTACCGTAAGGAAGCAAGGCCACCAGCGATGCTGCGTCCTCAATGGCAATACCACCACCCTGTCCTTGGTCTACATAGGAGAAATGGTCAGCAATGTCATGTCAACAAATGTGATAAACTTACGAGGTAAGAATGGGTGAGCCGCGTCTCCAAGCAAAGCAAGTCGATCCTTATGCCACGTTGGAATACGGTCCATGTCCAGCAGAGTCCAAAGCTTCAAGTCGCTGGCGTCAACCAGGTTGAGAATAGCGCGGACCCTCGGCTCAAAGTCCTTGTAGACCTCAAGAAGAAGTTCCTTGCTGCCTCCCTGTCCCCATCCTATACATGTCAGCTTTGCACTCGTAGTCCAGATGCCGCCGTGACTCACCAGATCCCTTGTTTGCCCCGGAGGTGATACTGCTTGGGTGAATGGCCACAAAGTTCATGACAGTGTTGTTGGAGCAAGGATACATGATGATTCTTCTATCGTCGCCGACCCACATCGTCATTGTGCCTGTGCGCTCGGCGAAAGGCCTGGTTGTTTCGTCATTGAGGTATTTCGAATGGGGAATCATGAATCTGAAGGCGCTCTTTCCGGAGCCAAAAGGCTTGATGTCTGTGCCAGTGACGATGGACCGCGTTATCGACTGTTCGTTATTAGCTTCAAGAATTATCAGGTGAGGTGATTTGAGCTCCTTACGCTGACACCGTCGGCTCCAAGAACCAGATCTCCCGATACTGTAGTGCCATCCTCAAACTTGACAGTCGCCGTTGAAGGGTCGACATCAGCTACTAGGCTAGAGGTCTTGAGAATAGCTGGTGTTCCGGGGCCGTCGCTGGAGGTTGCTTGGTTCTTGAGGTTCTCGTGTAGACTGACTCGATGCGCAAGAACCCATGGCTGCATGCTATTAGCGATTGCTATAGGAATGACACCTCGTAACATACGTGCTCCCAAACTGAGAGTGGTCCTTTGAGGTGGTTATCAAACTTTAGGTGCCCACTATGTGTATACTCGGTGACCTGGGAGCGTCAGTGTAGTTCAGAGCATTATTCGATTGCGCGACTTACACCTTCGACGCGATTTGCGCCAAAAGTCTCGGGGAAAACACCAAATCGCTTCAGAAGTCCATGACTGTTGGGAGCCACGTGAATAGCAGCACCGACTTCTCGTGCCAGCTGCGATCTCTCGAATAGCTAAGATACAGAGTATGAGTCAAAGTGGTATCGTCACGATAAAGTTCAGTTCACGTACTGTTACTTTATGCCCTTGTTGGCGGAGACCAAGCGCAGCGGTTAAACCACCAATGCCTTGTCATGTCAGCATTTCCTCACGACAGCTACTCCAAGGTTGATAGAATTACCTGCTCCGACAATAAGAATGTTTAGAGGTCTTGTTTCTGTGTCTTGATTCATGTTTGCAGGTGAATAGCACGGCACAATAACTCAACAAGAGCGTAGTCGGCAGATGTATATGACCAAACGATGTAATGATTTCGTGCAGCTCTGAACCTATAATAAACCCCAGACTCTCCAAACTGTCTCATGATCAACCTTCCCCAGATTCACGGGTTCCCCCGTGGACCCCGTCCCATCTTCTCCAAGTCCCCGATCTTACTTTGTATGTATCTGGGTCTTACGCGTTTCGGGATTCGGCCCCACGCAACCGAGCGCCCCCCGTATCGGAACCCTCCACATAAAGCGAAAGAAAGTTGGGGTCTCAGCCGAAGGGGGACAATTCGGCGACAAACAGAAATATGGTGCAATTGAGGGGGAGTCATCTACTGGGATGGAAGTGAAATAGAGCTTGTCATACGATATTTTATTTACAAGGGCTTTCTTAGTTTTGGTCTTAGCATAACTCAAATCTACTACTATACCAATCATTACAATGCCGAACCCTATCAAGGAAGACATCCATACCGTGGATGAGGAGTCATTTCCTTACATCTTTGAACAGAATGCTACAGTTCCCCTCAAGGCGGGCGATGGTCTGGTGAGACTTAATGTCTATCGACCCAAAGGTGTTGACAAGGTTCCCGTTCTCGTCACATATGGCCCTTATGGAAAGGACATTTGGTATCAAGAGTCAGTCATTTTCCTACTATGAGTATCACAGAAACTAACAACGCTACAGTTTCCATCCCAAGTCCTTCAGTGAGGTGAATCCTCAGCACAAGTCCCAGCACTCAGCATGGGAAACCCCAGACCCCGGCTTCTGGACCAAGCACGGATATGCCATCGTCCGTGCTGATGAGCGAGGTCTCGGCCAATCAACCGGCAAGCTTGATACCATGTCAAGAGGCACCAGTGAAGCCTTCTTTGATGTCGTTGAGTGGGCCGCCGAGCAGCCTTGGTCATCGGGCAAAGTCGGTCTTCTCGGTATCAGCTACTATGCCGGAAGTCAATGGCGAGTCGCAGCCCGTAAGCCAAAGGGCCTTAGTGCCATTATTCCCTGGGAGGGCATGTCAGATTATTACCGTGATCGGTGCAGACATGGTGGAATTTTATCAAATTCTTTTATCAAGTTTTGGTGGAATCGCCAGGTCATTACGAATCAGTACGGTCGACCTGGTCGAAATGCTAGGAACTGGGGTCCTGATACTATCGAGGGTGATCTTCCCGAAGAGGAGCTTGAGGCCAACAGACAGGATCAGACTATCGATAATCAAGTCAACCGCTTCCGAGATGAGGCCTACTACGCTTCCAAGGAGTACGACATGGGTGATATTGAAGTCCCTCTCCTATCAGTAGGCAACTGGGGCGGTATTCTTCTGCATCTCCGTGGCAACATCGAGGGATACATCAACGCAGGTTCAAAGTTCAAGTATCTCCGTCTCATCACAGGACGCCACGATCTTCCCTTTTACTACGAGGAAGAAGTTGAAATTCAACGAAGTTTTCTCGACGCTTTCCTCAAAGGCGAAGACCGCGTTGGCTGGTCTGAAGAAGGAAAGGTGGCTCCCGTAAGTCTTGTTCTTCGAAAGGGCAACGTTGGCTTCAACGACGCCGAGAAGGAGAAGGCCTATCCTCGGAGGGAAGAGAGCGAATGGCCTATTGCGCGAACGCAGTACAAGAAGCTCTTCCTTACACCTGAACAGGGTCTAAGCTGGGAAGAGCCCAAGACAGAGCGCAAGAAGCTTACCTACAAGGCTCTTGGAACTCTGGAGAAGCCTGAGGTGGTTCAGTTTGCAACTCCTGCTTTTGAGGCTGAGACAGAGATCACGGGCCACGTTGTAGCTCATCTCAATGTCTCAGTCTCCCCTGATCCTTCTGGCCCTACACCCAGTGACATTGATCTGTTTGTCACACTGCGCCACTTCGACCCTTCAGGGGAAGAAGTTTTCTATACTGGCACAGCAGGTGACCCAGTTCCCCTGACGAAGGGCTGGCTTCGCGTGTCGCTCCGCAAGGTTGATACAGAACACCCCAAGCACCGCGAGTGGCTTCCCCACAGGAACTACACTAGCAAGGATGTTCAGCCTGTGATACAGGGCGAAGTCTATGGTGTTGACATTGAGGTCTGGCCTACGAATGTTATCGTTGATAAGGGCGGTAAATTGGTGTTTGAGGTATCGTCAGGGGATACTCAGGGGTCAGGTATTTTCTTGCACAACGACCCAGTTGACAGGTAAGCATAAATATTTGAGATTCTGGTGCTCATTGCTAACTTGTTTTAGATCGCCTGAAGTCTTCCAAGGTTCGAACCATATACACTTTGGACCTCGCCAACAAAACTACATCACTCTTCCCGTGATTCCCAACTAGATAGCATAGAAAAATAGGATAATAGATTAGTATTTGCCTTTAACTGAATATCAATTGCAAAACAGCGCGAAAGTCCAATAGGCTTTCTCCATAAACAAAACTTCGGTGATACATGTGCAACATGGCCACTCATACACCACTATATAAAACTAGTACCCATCGAATATTAAGTTCGCCCGACATTGGTATACCCTGCCATTGGCCACTACACAAAAGACTTAGAGCACATAGACAGCCACCATTACAGCCGCCGCAGCCATTCCACCAACGCTGCCCTTCTTATTGATGCTAGCTCCAGACACGGGGACCTGGGTAGGGGTAGAGGTAGCACCCGAGCCAGTGGATGCAGCAGCTCCGCTGCCTCCCTTGGTCATTGACACAACGGTCAAAGGCTTCTCAGTGCAGGACGTAGTAGGGAGAGCGGATCGAGTGACGATGTCGGGAGTTGTTACGGCCGAGGGACAGGAGCTACAGGTAATTGTTGTAGATACAGAGTCGGCGGCGTGGACTCCTGATAGAACTGCATAGGCTGTTAGTGATTATATTTGCATGCCTGATAGAATTTATTGCTTACCTGCGAGAGCTGCGATGAGAGTAAACTTCATGGTTGCGTTTATGAAAGAGTGAAGGTCAAAGAGTGAATGCTGGGCTTAGACAATCCGGCAACAAACGACTTGGCGGGGAATCCAAGCAAATAAAACACAAAACTGATTAATAAAAACAGGAATGTCTTAACACATACAGGCTTTGTTAAATCAGTGCCGAATTCCCAGCACCTCTAGAGCTACCAGCAGCGACTATCAATTCCACGGACCAAACTCATCCCGAAGGCTTTCGGCAGCTAGAGGATATTACCAATTCCCCTGATCAACACCAATTTCCTCAAAGCTCAGCCTGAGACACATTGCCCAAGCGCAACATCTACACTATAATTCTCGAACTAAACAAAGGCGATGTTGTTCGGATAGTGAATATTCCGAGCCATGTCTCACCAAAAGCCCAAGCTATAACTCAATCCTCTCTAGCTCACGGAACCAAAGCCATCCGAGATCCCAACGTCCCACAATTAGAAAACAGCGCACGAATGATATTCAACGCTAGTTTCGAACTATCAACTACGGATTCAAGAGTTTCCGAGTTGAGAGTCCCTGGCGATCATCGAAGCGTGCCCGATTCGGTAATCTGTTTGAACCATGACGTCTCGATTCGGCATTTGGGGGCTTGTTTCTGTTTGAGATGGATGTTTCTTAGGGCTGAAATTTGGGCGGTGCGATACTTTTGGGTTTCGGCTGTTGGACTTTGAGGGGGAGATTGGACGGCGGGAAGATCGGAGCGGAATGGTGAGATGCCGGATCGTGTTGTTGTGAGTCTAGGGAGATTAAGGCGCGGAGAAATTATTCACAATTGCAGTCGAGGCATCATGAGGGCCCTATGTGATGCTGCTAGTAGTTGTTGGGTAGGTATATCTATCTGCCTGCACTGGTGATGAAACAATCTCATATCTACATCCCAGTGCATCCAATTCATTCTCTCAGAGCATCACCAATCTTCTTCTTCTCTATCAAGCCATATATACATACCCTTAGTCATCATGTACTTCTCTACTGCCCTTCCTCTATTGGCCGCTGGCCTCGCCTCCGCTGCTCCTGTCATTGAGAAGCGTGCCTCTGCGATCAACGACGGAGTCATCCTCAACTATGCCCTTACTCTTGAGCATCTCGAGGACAACTTCTATCGTCAAGGCCTTTCCAACTTTACTGAGAAGGACTTTGCCGATGCTGGTTATGACTCGACATTCTACAACAACATCAAGAAGGTCTCTTCTGATGAGACAGCTCATGTTGACTTTATCACCAAGGCTCTCAAGGGTACGCTTAACATATAATCCCATATAATGATTGATTGATGGATTGTACTAACATCTCTAGCTGCTGGTGTCACACCCGTCCAGGAGTGCACATACTCCTTCGGCGTCACTGATGTCAAGTCCTTCCTCGCAACCGCCTCCGTCCTCGAAGGCGTCGGCGTCTCAGCTTACCTCGGCGCCGCTGCCGACATCATGAGCAAGACGTACCTCACCGCCGCCGGATCCATCCTCACCGTCGAGGCGCGCCACTCCTCCTACATCCGCGGTGCGCTCAAGCAAGTCCCCTTTGCGCAGCCCTTCGATGCTCCATTGAGCTACAACGAGGTGTACTCTCTTGCTTCAGGCTTCATCACCGGTTGCCCCAAGGAGAACCCTGCTCTGCCCGTCAAGGCTTTCCCCGCTTTGGCTGCTTCTGCTTCGAGCAGTGAGATCAAGACTGGTGATATGGTTACTCTTATGACACCTGGTTATACCCTTGAGGGCGCCAAGGGCCAGAGTGTCTATGCTGCTTTCATCGCTGTTACTGGACCTACGTTTGTTGAGGCCAAGGCTGCTGACGGTGGTTTCTCTGTTGAGATTCCTGAGGGCTTTGCTGGACAGACTTACGTTGTCCTGACTGGCTGCAAGGATGTTGTCTCTGACGACACCGTCGCTGCTGGACCTGCCATCATTGAGGTGAGTTGATGCAGTGAAGTTTCAAGTAGTCGACATTACTAACATGTGTATAGATCTCTAGCTAAGTCTGTGATACTCAAGGGTATCCTCCAAGTTTGATATGGTCTGTGGAGGGATGATAATTGCTAGTGTAAATGGCAATCTAATAAGGACGATTCTACATGTACATAATTAATTGCGTCGCCAAATGAGCTTGAGTACACGTATTGAGAAATCAATCAATCTTTTATTTATCGCACGCTGTATATCAAGATCTCTTCTAACAATCTGCTGAACCAAATCACTTCATGCTGCCGCTGTCGCAAGAGTCCTCGGCCATGATCCAAAGGTAAACTGGCTATTACACATATTCGTCAACTCCCAAGTCTCAGCCTTGAGCTCACCATAAACACCCTCATCCTCCTCATCCCCAACCGCACCGGCCACAAACAGCGCCGACATGAAGTGATCATCCGTAGCATGAGCATCTCTATAAAATGGATGCTTCATCAACCTCGTCATCGCGCGTCTCAATCTCGGTCCGCTATTGTTCTTGATGACATCCTCAACAGCCTGTCGAAACTCCAGGGCCCACGCCTCGGGTGGTTTCTCTTGCGCAAAGTTATCAGAGTAGTATAGGATAGGCGCCCAGATATTGCGGTAGAGATTATGCACTGCGCCGCCGGAACCGATTATGAGATAGTTTTCCTTTCGGAGAGGGCGTAGAGTCTCGCCGACGCGCAGGTGGTAGTGAGGGTCGAAGCGCGCGTTCATGGAGATGAGTGTTGTTGGTGGGCAGCCGTTGGGAAACATGCGGATGAGGATGAGGTATGTATCGTGGATCCATTCAAACTCGGTATTTCCGGAAACATTGAAGCCGGCGTCTTTGAGGAGGGAGATGCATCGTTCGCCGGTCTCGAGATCGGGGTTGAGTTCGTAGTCGACGTATTTTGAAGGGTGGACGTATGCGACGGGTGATTTGCCTGGTTTGGGGTTCATGGCGACCTGCATGCGATCGCCTTCAGCGTCCCAATGAGCGCCCTATTAACGTCATCAGTCAGTCAATTGACAGCCAATTCAATGGGTGAAAGACACACCATCATGATAACACCTTTAATGTTGTTAGCCAAAGCTTGATCACCCGCCTTCTTCCAGTAGTCGGCTGACTCGGACTCTTCTCCCAGCATCATAGTCGAGCCATGGGAGAAGAAGTGAACTGGTGACAGACTGGCTTTCATAATGTCAACTGAGTTGAATTTGCCTAGAACCGATCAAAAAAACATACCCATTCTGGGACAAGTGTCACTTATCTATATATTTATTTAAAGTTGCCATGAATCAATTGCCGAGATTGCAAGTATAGGGTGGTTAAATCTCCATCGGGATGTGGAGGAGCTGTCTCCCCCCCAATTTTCGTATCCCCTCAAATCACGACCATCCCGGATCTAGCATCGCCTCTCCCCCGTAGCCACCCCCGCAAAATGCAACCTGGGATTTCCCCCGCGGATTCTTTGTCATGTCCGAGCCGAAGGAAAAAACAACACGATTTCCCCCTGCTCCTCACACACGCTCTCTCTCTTTCTCCTCCACGTCCCGATTGCCTATCTCCCTCTCCACTTGCACGACCAGTCCGTCTCTGTCTCTCTCACTATGTCAACGACTCAACCTGGCATGTTCCAATGCGGTTCATGCAAGAAGAATTATAAGCGTCTTGATCATCTAGCGCGTCACGTGCGATCCCGTATGCTTGCATCTCCCATCCTTCATCCACTGGACTCAGTGCTTGTTGCTTACTTACATCGCTTGTGCTAGATACACAGACCAAACCCTACAAGTGCCATGTCTGCCCCAAGGCCTTCACAAGACCGTTAGTCTAGTCTAGCCCAGCCCCTCGATGTTTCATCGCGTCGCTTACTAACGATGATCAAGGGACCTCCTGAAAAGACATGTTGCTGGTCATGGCTCACAGGCTGGGGATAGCTCTGTAGCTGAACAACCGCGTTACATGCCAGGCAGGGTTGGCAAGGCCTGCAAGGCATGCTCTACCAATCACCTGCGCTGTAGTGATGAGAAGCCCTGTCGTCGATGTCAAGAGAAAGGTATCGAGTGCAAGTGGAACGACTCCATGGAGCTGGACTCGGACTTTCAGTCTGAGGAGCAGCAGCAGCAGGATGAGGCTATCTTCTCCCAAGATGAAGGCTCATCGTCCATGGCTGCGTTCCCTGACCATACCAGTATTGGGTCAACGTCGGGCTCGTCTGTCATGGAGCAGCCTTCGCTGGATATGCTCACGCCGCAGACATCACATAGCCTCTTCCAGAATCTTGGTAAGTCCCCAAGACACCACATCCAGGTATGAGGCTCATGGTGAATAGACCCCTCAATGAGCACCAACATTGATCCACTCTTCTTCCCTCTGCCCGATCTCAACCTTCTATCAGGAGGATGGGCCAATCCCAACGCCAACCATGTCGACATGTATACGTACAATCAACTCGATGATATAGACCTCCGGTTCCTTGACTCATACAACACCAGCATCCCCTTCGAAGTCAGAAGTATACAGCCTACACCTCGAGGAGCACAAACACCACGCGCCGCATCGCATACCGACCCTGGCGAACCCGCCGCCATGTGTACAGAGGCCTTTCAAAACTCTCACTGGAAGTTTCGACCAAACGCCAAAGACCATGCTGGTGCTGAGGAGCATAACCTCTCCCTTCCCGCCACAGACTCTGCCTACCCATCACCCGAGTCTGGTGTCGCCTTGGACTCAAACACGAGAGTTACGTCTGCCAAGTTAGAAGGACCAGCTCGAGATAGGATACTCATGATGGTCGTCAACAGCTGTCGTTCAGATCACTTGTCAAAAGCAGTAGCGTCCTTTCCCTCTGCTGAGCTGTTGGACACACTACTTCAGTACTACCTCACTTCGCGCGTTACGCATGCTACATCGTTCATCCACGCAGCTTCTTTCAACCCCAACGAGAAGAGGCCGGAGCTTGTCGCTGCTATGGCTGCCTGCGGAGCAGTCTTGACATCGGACCCTGCTTTGTCAAAACTTGGCTATGCTATACAAGAATGCTTGAGGATAGCTGTCGCCAAACATGTAAGTCCTTTACTGCCTGTCTTCATGTTCCCAGACTGACCTGTCATTAGTGGGAACAGGATAACAGTCTCGTCCGTGATCTTCAGCTCACCCAAGCCTTCGTCATTACCCTCGAGATGGGCATCTGGAGCGGTCTCCCCCGCAAGGTTGAGATAGCAGAGAGCTTCTTCAACCCTGTTCTTACCATGATGCGCCGCGATGGAAAGTTCAAGAGATCAGTGTACTCCCAGAGCAAGACCATGCAATCCCCAGGTCTAGTCTCTCAGGAAGACTGGTTTCAATGGGTAGAGGATGAGTCCTTCAAGAGGCTTGCCTTCAGGATGCTATCTCATGATGCTAATACTTCCACGGCGCTGCTGGTCAGTCCTTCAGTGTCTTATGCTGAGGTCCTTCTGCCCTTCCCGGAACATGCGGACTTGTGGACTGCCGCGTCGCCGGAACAGTGGAACTCGCTCAAGGCCTCGCGCCGACAAACTGAGCCGCTTTTCGTTGCAGATGTCATCGATGATCCAGATATTCTCAACAACCATACTGACTCTGTTGACTCATATGTCGCTATATTGGCCGTCCTCTCCTGTACATGGACTATGTGCTGGGAATATCTCCAGCTCTCATCCCTCCAACGATCACGACCTCGGCGCTGGAATACCCTCGTCACAGAGATGCGCAAAGACGAACTACTCAAGCTCCTTGGACACTTGAAACTCAGTCTATCTGCCGACACTTGCGCAGACCCCGAGATCCAAATGCGCCTGGAACTCGCCCTTCTGCATCTCCACATGCCCTTCGAAGACATTCAGATCTTCGCAGGCATGGAGGGTCCCGAACGTGCACGCGCAGTCTATCCCACCGTCCGCGACTGGGTGAAAAGCGAATCTGCCCGCCACACAATATTCCACGCGGCTCAGATCATGCACATTGCCAAACACTCATCCCGCGGTTCGATGCGCGGCCCCATGGCCATAATCCTGTATCACGCAAGTCTTGCATTCTGGGTGTACGGCCTATTGTCCGACCAATCCAGCTTGTCCCGCTCATTGAGTCAGAATGTTTACTTGGACGAAGCAGATAGTATAGCACTTCAAAGATTCAAAGGGTTTGGACAGGGCCAGCCTTGTATACGGTGGAGGACGGAGATTCAGGGTGAAGGAGAGGTTGTGATTAGTGTGCCGCTCTCTCAGCCTGACAAGGTCATGGAGGCGGTTATGGGGATTGTGAGGAGTAATTTTGCGGGGATGCCGGTGCCGCATCTTACGGAGAAGTTGGTGCAGCTCATGGGAGAGTTGGAGAACTCGGCAAAGAGGAAGTTGGATGCATGATACCCGGGTCTAATGGTTAGTAAGTATTAGTATTGTGTCTGAAGTCCAGTACGGACAATGCTATGCAGATGCTGCTTTTCTCCTCTTACTTGACATGATAACTTTGGGTGCAAGCCAGTAGACCTTTCAATTAGATTGATCAGCCTAAAATTGTAAGGATATCATTCGTTTGACTGAAATGGGTACAATGGTATGACCGGACGGCACCCTTAGTGATACCATGTTACACAGTCACGCTACACGTAATCGCCTCTGGATTTGTTGACATTCACGTCTCAGCTCTGTATTCACGAGGAATAGGGAAACAATCGTTGGCAATTTTTACTTCATTTGTTTGACTGTCTTTGCACCTGAATCCTTTCCTCAAAGTCGATAATTTCGCTTACTGGGGAGGGACTAATCACTGTTAGCAGATGTCCAAAACCTAAACATTATCAAGACTCACCATAGACGAGAGTGCCGTTGTCGTTGCCGATGCACTCAGCGAGGTTGAGGTCAGCCTCAACGGGGTCACCATCAACAGGGTTGAGAAGAGCGCGGAGGACAGGGACGTTGTCGTCGCCCTCAAGTGAGAAGGTGATGTCGGAAGCAGAGCCAGAGAAGCCTTGAGTCATCATTAGTATATCAAAGATAGAATTCGAATATATGGTCACTTACCCTCGCCACCCCAGTAGAAAGAACCGTCGTTGTTGCCGATGTAGTAGTCGAGATCAAGACGAGACTCTTGAGGCTCGCCATCAGCATCGTTGCACTGAGCGACGAGGATGTGACCGTCCTCAAGCTCGATGTCAGAGGAGCTCTCGTGGAAGTTGACCATTTTGGATGAGGTGAATTTGAATTTGAATTTGAGTAAGGTAAGAAGATGTAGATGCAGGCGTAATATCAAGTTATGTCAAGAGTCAAGGACTATATATATATTATTGGCAGTGATTCACGAGAGGCCTCGCACATACGCCTCCGCACAAAAGCCAAGATCCTCCAAGACCGAGTGAACCGCGAGAAAAGGATTTTGAAGCTGCCACGACTGCAATGCACATGCAATGCAGACCAAGAGTCCACTTCTTACAAGGACCCCTGAATATCCCATCCCCATCCAAAAGCGCGCGGTTGACGAGGCCCCCACTAACGCGCATACACGGCTCGGCACGACGGGCATTGGATAGGAGACGCTGTTTGACTGAGGAAGCCTCTTCCTGTAGGAATTATACGGTGCAGAAACGTGTTTCACAAGGTTATAGGACTTTTGCTGGTGGTGGTGGTGAGCTTACTGTGTCGTAGGGAGGAGTTGTTAGGGGGGCTGTGCGGTGAGCAGAGAGGGTCTTGGCAGTGGGACGCAATCCAATTACCTATCGATAAATCCTTGGCATGAGAAAGTCTTGGCTTGAGGGGTTCCGATTACCGTGGACCAGGTACTTAAAGTACTTGTGTATGACAATAAATATGAGACCACTTTTATGTTGACAATATTACGAGAGGACAAATAGACACGAGACTTGAAGTGGGTCAGAATAGACACTGACTTGGTCAATTTGTGATAAGATAACCATAGAATACTCATTACATCATGACTAAAGGCAGACAGACTATCTCTCCCTATGACCTAGTAACCCTGCCATCGTAGAACCTGTTCTGCTGTAGCAATCCTCATACGCTTTCCATACATCCAAAGAGGAACAGTCAGCAGAGAAAAGATACCCATCAACATTCCAAAGATTCCAAAAGGCTCTGCGGCTCCGCTCTTTTGAACCCAATCAGCCACAAAGAACGTCCAGGCAAAGGCGATGATGGCTCGCAGAATCGTGACCATGGTGAAGCAATCTGCTGCCAGGGAATGATAAGAGTCGATCAACTATAACTTGTTAGTATCCACAGCAGAACAAAGCTGAGAGCGGTATGAAACTTACATAGTTGAATCCAACTGATGGAACCTGCATCAGACCAAAACTGACCATGCCATAGCCAACTTGGAGTCCAACCCAGGTATGTCCACCAGGGTTCTTGGCACAGAATCCAAACACCAAAAAGCCACAGGTAGCGATGAACAGAGGGAAGAAGAGAGTTGGCAATCGGTCCTCAGACTCGGCCACTCCGTTTCGTGTCTTGCTGGCCTTGTTCACAAGTCTTCCATCAGCAAGCATGTGCGTATACACGTAGCCGATAACGCCGCCAATGACAGCACCAACGTTGATGAGTCCAGCGTTAGCCTTCCAAAGATAAGGCGGGCTCGCCATAATCGAAGGTCCAATGGTCGAAATAGTCACGATACCGCCAACAAGCCCAGCGTAGTGAAGCATCACCACCCAAGTACCAGGGAAGGCAAGGGTCTTCCAAGGCTGGATGAACTGCTTCAGAAGACTGCCCCGAGGCTTGCTGAAGCCCAAAGACTGGACGTAGCCGTAGGCGGAGTACGTGATGTGCTGATCACCCCCGTGGACAGACTGCTTGTCCTCAACGTGCTCATTTTTGCCATACTGCGCATTCTTCTCGGTCTCGGGGTCTGTTACGCCTTCGACGGGTGCGCTTCGGATATACAGGGTCTCGGGGACGAAGAAGATGACGCCGACGAGGCATGCCGCGGATAGGGCGAGACAGACCCAGAAGATGGCCTTCCAGCCTTGTTGGTAGACGATGTATCCTCCTGTGATGCCACCTGTGAGAGGTCCGACGACGAGCATGATGGTGTAGACGGCCTATCACAAATATCAGTACTTAGTTGTTATCAAGGTTGCTGAAGAGTGTGTTTACCATGGCTCGTCCACGCTGATGAATAGGAAACATATCTCCGATAAGCGCCGGGGCAACAGTATCCGCGGCCGCACCTCCAATGCCCTGGAAGATCCTAGCAGCGATGAGGGAATCATACGATGTCGCGAGTGCACACCACAGAGTGCAGAACGTGAGTATGGCCGTGGCGATGATGAGAACAGGCCGTCGTCCCAACGAGTTGGACATGGGAACCCACCAGATGTTGGCCACACCGATGAAGAGGATGTTGACCTGCGATCCTATCAGCATTGACCTTCAGTCAGTGTAATAAGAGAGAAACTTACCGCAATCAACTTGGAGAGCTGAGAGAATGTTCTCGGATCTTTCGGAAAGATCATGGGCCAGAGCTGAAACGCAGGCGCTATAACACCACTTGTGTAATTCGCCGTGAAGGCATACAGCGAGGCAACGCTCAGAGCAGCGATTTTATGCCATGTCGGCAAATTCAGAGGATCTCGAGGATCATCCGTCAAATGCCCACTAACAATCACATGGCCTGCATCTTCCTGCTCCCCTTTTTTTCATCATTAGTCCTGAAATCTCCACGCGTCAAGGGGCAAGAAATTCTCACGGTGAATCTGGACTGTGCCAGGAGGCGTCGCAACCTCGACTTCGAGCGGAGACAGAGCAAATGCTTCTTTGAACGAGACCATATTTGTGAATGTTTGCAGTTGGGGGTGATGTTTTTGGAATTTTTAGTCGTAGGCCATGGTCGATTAAGTACTCCTCACTTCCCCCCAGTTCTCCTCCACGTTACCCCGGATTACCCCATGGGACTGTGAAAGTCTGTAACCGAGATACAATCTAGATCACTGGGGTGTTTGCCGCACTAGCCAACCAGATAGATGAGATGCTTTGGTGGCGTTGCAAGCTTAGCTTAATCTGGGAGTGTTGATTGGTGGTTTTGTCGGGGTACCCTCCACTTTCCCGGTGGTCCTCTCGGGACGTGGGATATTGGTCATGGAGAATGAGGGGGAATGTTACATTTTACACTTGGTATGCCAGATATTGGCCAGCATAAAGCCGATCAAAATCATGGAATTAAGTTTGGCAGGTGTCATAGCCAGGTTGGATGATCTGATATGGCATGGCTATTGACTATCCCATAACCAGAGTTACGAAGTCTGTATCTCCAGCTGTAGCTAGCCATAATTACTAAGGCTCGTCGTAATTGCTTGTACATCCTACAAGAACATGGCAAGGCAAGCAACCAAAGAAGAACTCACTGTCATGCGGCTCATGCTCATCAACGGCGCCAGACACCTAATCTTTTACTTCCGAGTCATCCGCTGGTTCGCGAGTTATCCATCTGCTTCCGGGCCATCCGTACATTATCGGGTTGTCCGCTCATCACGTTCACTATCGCCAAGCAAGTACTGATAAGCCAGGGTTTTTGAGTTCACTGATCCCCTACCCTCCAATAACGTACAGAGGGAGCCACGTCGTTGCAAAGTCCGCCCTCTATAAATCCTAGACTGGCATCTCATAGTATTATCTGTGTCGTCTCAGCGTAGAGCTCTCGGGGTTTACCTCATGGGCTATAATCTTGTAGTAGGGTTGTCTGGACAGTATTGAAGTACCTTGTGCATGGCTCCAGGGAGAAGGCAGGGACGCTTTTGTACGGTATTTTCATCTTGTGGTCAGGGAACAAAGTGGCACGCCAGGCTTGTCCTTAGTTCGTACAGGATAATGGATCGAGAAGTTGCACTCCAAAGTAGGGCTTGTCAAGTGCCGAATTGTTAGCCGTGACTGGTTTCGGAGAAAGTCTTCGTGTATCCTCGCCTATCCCCGTTCAAGATATTCATTTGCCAGCCGCCCTCTTCTTTCCTGGTGCCCGAAGTATTCACCAAAACATGTGTTTGCCAGAGGAACCCCCACCGACATCGCCTCAGCCAATCCTTTGCTTCCTCCTCACCCAAACCTCTTTATCCGTTGACAAGTCGTTCTTCTCTCTTGTATCAGTAGATTCCTTTTCTTTTATATCCCTGATCTCGACTTCCCAGGTCTTGAGTCTGTAGCTCCCCCGATCTGACATGCCAGTGAACAGATCAAAAGACCAGCCGTGATTGGGACACAACACTCCCGCGCTAAGCACAACGCCAAAGTCTTCAATGTCGAAGGGCGTCCCTTTCGAAAGAGGGTATTGGCTATGCGGACATGACTACCCTTGTCAGCCCCTGTAAACAATTTTCCTAGACATTTGCTCACATGGTCGATTGCATAAAATTTGCCTTTGTATTGGAAGACAAGCACCTGATTCACAAGTGACTCTAACGAGAAGTCATCGCCAACAGGAACTTCTTCTGCCGAAGATACATCTTCCTGTGGTATGTGAAATGCTTTGCAGCCAGGTATTGATTTTGCGTTACACAAGCGATGTTTTGCCAAGTTGCCTGCATCATCATCTACATCTGGAAATGATGATGTATGGCCTACAAATGTCCATTGAGCACCTTGTCGGGAAAATGGGTTGAAGAAATTCATTTTGATAACGGTACTTGGTCGCTCAGCGATTTTGCTCTGAGTCAAAGGCGAAAAATTGCTCTTATCATGGCGCGGAACAATTCCTCTAGAACATGTGACATGTCACGTGGGCTGAATGTCGGGCAAATCAATCTATGAATACTTTCTTATAAATGAACCATGGATAAAATCGTTCAGTTGCCATTACTCTATGTCATATATATAGCTGGGCACAGTCTTATATCTATCCCAAATGGCGCCATAGCATATCAAAAGACTCGGAAAGCACCTCATCGTCAAGAAAGATATGCCGCCACTGCACTATCTCCCAGACCATTCCATACAATGTATTTGTAAATGACTGATTCCCACTTTCATCCAACACTTCATCAGCTCCATCAAGAAAGGTAGCTGTCACTCTCGCATTCAGAAGCTCTTGTATTTCTCTACCAGAAAGCAGTCTTCAGATCATCGGCATAAGCTCACTTTGAATAGACTGATGCCGAAGCAGAAGAAGATTAATCAGCGCGACAGCTGATCCGCCGATCTTATCCTTCGTAGCAAGCCATTGGACGCGAGCTGGGATGTGTCGGAGGAAGTAACAGGGAGAGTTTTCATTGCCCTGGACAATCTGGGACTGGATAGCTTCGAAGCGTGTATAGTGCGGGGCACAGGCATTGATGTACCATAGGAAGAGGTTCTGAAGATCAGATTCTGCTAGGATATCATGCATATATAAAGAGCAGCCGAGTGTAAGGCAATAGGCTTCACGGTCATGGATCCAATCAGTATTCGTTCCCCCCGGATCAGCTGCTAGGGCTTGTTTCAGGACACTCTTTGCGAATTTTAGTCGAATCAGTTCGGAGACATGGCGAGGAATACGAAATTGGGTTGAAAGACAGGCGGAGATACCAGGGACTCCAAGGCTGTGTAATGGGCGAGAGATACGTAAAGGTCATAATCGTTAGCCAAATCTTTGGTCTGGAGTCCAGGAGACACGCCCATCGGCCCATCGAAAATATCTCCAGAGACATACCTAACCGTTATGAGACAGCCGCATATCTGTTGCAGGTAGCCCAAGTCAATGATAGAGTCCTGGCCTTCGGTTTCGTAGCCAAAGTGCTATCAGATTTATCGAGAAATACTAATGCACAAGAAAAGCTTCACAGAAAGTTTTATAATGATATGTAAATCGGTACTATTAGGGAAGAAGGTTTAGAGCAATCGGAAGGTAGTGGTAGAGTTAAGTTTATAGTCAGTCACAAGGTTAGAAAATACACTTCGGGTTTAACACAGGGCAATGGCCTTTCGTGATATGTACATGCTCGACATCAGATGTTTTTAATGCCAAGCGCCACCAACACACCGTATATTTCCTGCAGGCAAACGGCACTGAGGTCTGTACTTTGTTGGTTGCACAGATACACAATATTCTAGGGTTTTCACGCACGCACATTTGTCGGTTATCCTTTTTCTCTGGCCAAAAATATTGAATTCCAGAGCTTATCTTCGCTCCTTCGAAGCTCATATTCATCCTCCTGTTTTTTGCTTCATACAATCTAAAAGATTCCATCGTTGGCATGGGTTCCGAGCACAATCACATCATGGACGAAATAGGGCCAGACTTCCCATTCAAGGCCACGCCCAAGGCTGCGCCCCCAACACTCAAGATTGATCATGACTGCGGCGTCAAAATCACAACAGTCAGTACAATGTCCGTCATGGTATCCCTTCCTGGTCAGATGCTCATCTACTCAAGTCTCCAGCGATAAACAACCCCCCACTGCCCGCCGATGGCCCTGGTAACGAGACCTTCTCGAACGGGCTCTTGATTTCCCTCTTGATTCTTGCCCCGACGTGCACGGCATGGAAGTTGGGTGGCGGGTTCAAGACCGCGGTGTTCTTTGCCCTCATCACCACTCTTCCGATTCTGATCACCTTCTGGGCCATCACCTCTGCCACAGCCCCGCGCACGAACGAGAGAGTCAAGTGCCCAGGTCTTCCTGTGGAACACTACTTGACTTTTCATAAGGAAGAAGATCGTAACAAGTACAGAGGACAGAACAAGGTTCCGATGGAGACGTTCATGCGCAAATATTTCGATGGTGACGCAGACTTTAACGGCGACGTCCTCGAAGTGCTTGAGTACCGTCATGACTGGGCGTCTTTCCGTTTCACATGGGAGCTATTTCGATACATCATTGTTAACTTTGCTACCGATGTCCTCGTCCATAGCCGATCTCAGGATGAAGATCAAGTTCGAGACCACTATGATCGTGGTGATGACTTCTACGCTTGGTTTTTGGGTCCGCGAATGGTCTATACATCCGGCATCATCTCCGATGTGACTAAGGAGGAGTCTCTCGAACAGCTACAGGATAACAAGCTTGCCATCGTGTGCGAAAAGATTGCCCTGAAGCCTGGCGAAACCCTGTTGGATATTGGTTGCGGTTGGGGTACGCTTGCCAAGTTTGCCAGTATCAACTACGGTGCAAAAGTGACAGGCATCACTCTCGGGCGTAACCAAACCAAGTGGGGGAACGAGACCCTGCGCAGAGCTGGCGTATCGGACTCTCAAATTCACTGCATGGACTATCGCGACATGCCTAAGGCCAAATACGACAAGATTACTTGCCTAGAGATGGCCGAGCATGTCGGTATTTTCAAGATTACTAACTTTCTTCGACAGTGTCGCCATATGCTGGAGGATGACGGCGTCATGCATCTCCAGATCGCAGGCATCCGACAAGCTTGGCAGTATGAGGATCTGGTTTGGGGCTTGTTCATGAACAAATATGTTTTCCCGGGCGCAGACGCATCCACGCCACTTGCGTATTATATCGGGTTTTGCGAAAGGGCTGGCTGGGAAGTCAAAAGGTAAGCCGCGGGCCTCGGATGATAATCTCACACGCGCGGCAGACATGCTAATGATGCTCAGCGTGGACACCATTGGCGTTCACTACTCGGCCACAATCTGGCGTTGGTACCGGAACTGGCTGGCGAACGAAGCCGACGTCACGGCCAAGTACGGACTGAGATGGTTCAAGGTCAGTTGAATGTTTTCCGTCGTAGCAGCTGCAACTAACCAGATGCCCAGATCTGGAAGTATTTCCTCGCATCAGCCACCATCTCCTCCCGTCAAGGCTCTGCGACCTGCTACCAAATCACTCTGGTCAAGAACATCAACAGCGTTCACCGCATTGACGGAGTTTCGACGCAATTTGCACTCTCGGCTGCCCTTGAGGCAAGTAAGAAGGCCGGCAGGGCAGGGTTCCCAGCGAACAAGTAAGACCGAATGGGACCGGAAGATCCAATGAGAGTCATCCCAGCTGCCAGGGAACAGTGCACCGCACCGCCTCGGCTTGACTTGACATGAATGGGCTCCCTCTCTACAGCTGATGTTTGGCACGGCTCTTTTGGAAGGTTCTGTCTGTCAATAAGGACATTTAATCGGACCACAATTCCACTCAGGATTTGAAGCCTTGATGCATGCTTTACTCACTTGAATGTCTTGGAGGAAACCAGAAGCCAAAGCCACCACTTGCTATACAGTATCAAGAAGTCACTTCCCCTTGCTCACAGGCGGGACTGGACACACACATGTGCACCATGCCTCTTCGTATTGTGATCCAATCATTGACCGGTAGATTATTTCCCAACATTTTGAGACAGCATGAATCCTCGGGTCAGTTGGCCAACTATCTAGAGGGGGAAGCTAACCTTGGGTCGATCTATATGGCCATTCCCCCCTTTGTGACAGACCGTACTGCATCTGAATAGTGTGAGTGCTGTACCTTGAAGGTATGTTTTCCACGATTTTCTTTGGTGCAATTCGCCTGTTTTACAACCCACTTTGGTTATGGCTCTTTTTTGTTGTGGCAGGGCTGTTGCTGGCGCGTGGCTATGTCCTTCATGTTCGTAACGAAGCCAAAATCAAACAACACGGAGGTCGAGCACCCCAATATAGAGGATGGCTTCCATTAGGTATGCACAGCACAAGAAGAATAACAGATAAACGACCTTATGCACTTTGATGAGCTACTGACAAGGCGGTGCAGGCCTGTCATTCCTTGTTGATTTCCGCAGCGCCGTGACCTGCGATGAGACTCTTAAATTCTGGAACGACACTTTTATGCGTTTATGTAAAGGTCTTGAGAGTCCTTATACTGCGGAGACTACAATCGCAGGCCAAAGAATTATCATCACGGCGGATCAAGAAAACGTAAAGGCGATACTCGCAACACAGTTCGATGATTTCGGGAAGGGGAAGAAGTTCAGAGACGACTGGGTTGACATGCTCGGGCACAGTATGGTCTACGCTCTGATTAGTGGCATTCGTTAACAAGGCTTTGGGAATCAGGCATCTTCAATTCAGATGGTCAGGCCTGGCATGAAGCCCGAACACGACTTCGGCCCGTCTTTCATCGAGAGCGCATCAGTGACCTAGAGTGCTTCGAACGCCATGTGCAAAATCTTCTTCCACTACTGGATACAGACGGTCAAACAGTGGAAATAAAAGACTTGTTTCTTAGGTTTACTTTGGATGTCTCGGCCGACTTCACGCTCGGCGTAGGTCTAGATACACTGAAGAGGCCTTTGAACAGGTTTGCGGAGAGCTTTGAGCGAGTCCGACACTGGAAGATACAGAGGGAGAGATCGAAGCCTTTCAAGTTTCTCGTGCCGAGAAGCCGGTATCAGGCAGATCTGGACTACATTGAATCCTTCATGGACCCGATCATTATGGAAACCGTCAACCAAATCAAAGCGGAAGAGGCCGGAGAAACACCTTACAAGAAAGATGCTGGCTTCAACTTACTTCGCGCGTCCGCCGAAGTTTCCACTGACCGCCGTTTCCTGCGCGACGAACTAATTACCGCCTTGTTTGCCGGCCGGGATAATACAGCCATAGCATTCACCTGGATGCTCTACGAGTTGGCACGGCACCCGGATGTCGTCAGGGATCTGCGCCAGGAAATCGACGCCCAAATCGGTCTCAACAGTGAACCCGGATACAAGACTCTGAAGGATATGAAAATACTGTCCAACATCACTAACGAAACACTTCGTCTCTATCCTCCAGTTCCGCTCAACACTCGCGCGTGCCTGAAGAATACCTCACTGCCCCGTGGAGGACCACTAGGGAACGATCCTATCGGCGTACTCAAAGGAACAGTTATTATCTATTCCAATCACCTTTTGCGTCAGTATATCCTTCTCACCTCCTTCAGTTCAACAAAATCTAACTGTCTAAATTTCAGATATAAATCCAGAGGCATATTCCCCAGTCCCGGAGGGTTCCCTCCCGGCTGATGAATGGTGTCCGAAAAGGTGGAACAATTGGTTCCCAAAACCATGGGCATTTGTACCATTTCACGGCGGCCCTCGCTTTTGCCTCGGCCAGCAGCTGGTGTTGGCACAGTTGAGCTATACTTTGGTCCGACTTTTCCAACGTTTTAGTCGACTCGAGCTGCGGATGGATCAAGTTGGGACAAAGAGAGCAAGGTCGATGAGAAATTCGCTGCTGAGCTGATGGAAGTCCTCTATACGGATAAACGATATAGCTTCCCCAGACTGCCTTCCTACGGCCTTATAGCTGCTTGCGTTTTTAAGGGTGTTCCTGTACTGAATTGCAGCTTGTGGTGTGACTATAGCCCTATTGGTGTAGTCGTTGACAGCTGCCGTTTGGGGGGGTAGATGTGGAGCAAAGATTTCTCTTGTTGGTGCGGTCGCCATATTGAAGATCAGGGGTATTTGTGGTGTTGAGCTAACCTTTCTTGGCCGACGGATTGGAGCATCTTATATGCCTCCAAGGGCGGCCAAAGAGTCATAATCTAGGTTTTCCTCTTTTTAGCCTTTAGCTGTAGCAATTGGTTAGTCATTTGGTATAATGTCTAAGTTGTAAGCTAGATGTGTTATTTGCAGTTGAGACTTGTGGCTGAGAGCTTAATCCAGCGGACAGAACTTAGATCAAGTTGGGACGGCTGAAAAGCAAGTAAATCCATGGCTCAGAAGAAGAGGCGAGCCCGAGCTTGTGGAGAGGTACATGCAGAATCGACCCCGAATGGTCACTGACATTACACTATTTCCTAGGGGAGAAGTGAGGGTGGCGTTCCTCAGGTAGTCTAGGTACTATTCACAGAGAACCAGATATTTCATTCACATTTCTGTGGCCCACTTACAGCCGTTGGAAAGTTTCTCTTATTCATTCGGCATCATACATCGAAAGTCAAGATTCAAATGTCTAAATAGAAACATATATTAAATCAGATCTATACGCCTTCGTTTACCGCTTTCTAGATCCGGACTATCCAAATAACATTAATATCTATCTTGAGTCATAAAGAAGTGTAAATATCTTCTATTAACGTACATCACAAGGGAGTGTTACATTGAAAATCTATACTGGCTTACGTTCGACCAAGAACAAACCCCCCTGAATTTAAATCATTCCTATCACCCATCTTCTTCCATTCAAATATTGGCTGAGCTATCTTTCCCTGAAGAATGGGAATGAATTAATCAGCTTGGTGCACTCGAAACTTGTTGCCTTTGGAACTGAGAAACTACTTGCATAATAAACGATGGGGGTGTCAGTTTCAAGACCTCACCCTCTAGTCGCACGACTCTTTCTTGTCTATCGCCTAGCCAGTTTGGGAACGATCACAGGTCCTCGCTGATATATATCAATGTTTCGTCTCCTCCGGCTTCAACATCAAACGTGCCAGCGTAAGCCAAGAAGTGCCGAGTTGCATCCGCCAGCTCCTCGGCAGTGCCGTCCAGTAAATTATTGCTTTCCCACTTGATGGCTCCAGGTCTCATGAGTTGCGTGGAGACGTATCCATCAGGAGAGAACATGATGATTCCGTGTGCATCCTTCCCGATGGTGTAGGGAATACTTGGTTTAACATCCGGGCTGTCGTAAAGCTCTGTTCGGCTGGAAATAAGAGACCATGAGCCAATAAGCTTATTACGGACCTCTTGAATTTGCGTCATGGTAGTGTCGTGGGGGACGATTTCTATTAAGAGTTCGGAAGTAGGGAAAGGAGTCTCCCCACGCGTGAGAACGTTGTTTGGTACCTATGCAAGCGACGTCCTTGTATTGTATTCTAGCATCTTAGAAGAAGGCATGAACTGTTCGGTGTTCACTTCGCGAACGATAAAGAGCCTTGGCTGCGATACACTGGTAGATCGCGTACCCTAGCTGGGAACCAATCGGACCATTACACCGACTAACACCGACTCGATGATTTCTAAGCATCTTACCTTCAGTCGTGGTGTCCAGTGATAACGACAGATTTACGAAGGCAGCGGAAGTCAGAACTGAAAGGGTTCTGCAAGGTGAGAGATGACAAGAACAGCCAATGTAGCCCGGGACCTTGCCAAATAGGGCATGGAACCATAAACTTATGGTTGTCGTCTGAGGCTGTTGAATGGCGGGCGGATGCTTATCGGAATGACATGGAACGGAACTCCATATCAACGTTGATAAGTGACAATTTGTCTTGCTTGCTCGTCTTGAATTAACACTCCCTTCGGTCAGACTTTCAGACATGTTTACACCCCATTTATCAGATAGTCTTACTGAGACTCGGCATATGGTCTGGATTATTATTGCTGGTATTGTTATTCTTGTCGTCTCAGGCGCATTCCAAGCAGCTTTGTTGCCATCGTCCTCACAGCTCCCCAAGAGTATACCGGTCTTTGGAGTTGAACCAGACCAATGGTTTTTCCCAAAAGCGCGCGCCCGCTGGCGCAACACTCTGGGGCTGAAGACCACCCTGGCGTCCATGTACAAGTCCCGGAAGCATACCTACACGATCCTACCCGTACTTGGACTGGGTGATCTTGTTTTTCTACCTATTCAAGAAACACAATGGCTTGCCGACCAGCCCAATTCGGCCGTCGATGCCCACGAACTCCTCGCAGACTTTTTAGACACAGACCACACTATTCCCGGATCTAAGCTTGCCCATGACAGCCTACATGTGCATCTGATTTCGACGAAACTGACGCGGGAGACGGGAAATATGATCCCAATCATGTACGATGAAACTCGTTGCAGCGTCGACGAGCTGTGGGGATTAGACAGTGACAAATGGAAGGAGATCGACGCGATGCCGACGGTGCAGCACATGATTGCCCAAGTTGTTGGCCGCGTGTTTTTCGGAGCTCCATTGTGCCGAAACAAAAGACTACAAGATTCAAGCCTTGCGTTCACTCAGGATGTCCCACTGTCTGCCATTTTGCTCCGGCTGACATGGAGGCCACTACGACCAATCTTGGCCCCAATCCTGACGATCCCGAATAGGATACACCTGGCACAATTCTATGGGATCCTGAAGACAGATCTGGCACGCCGGCTGTCTCTTTACGACTTACGCCAAAAGGGCCATGAAACAAATATTGAAGAGCCCAGCGACTTTCTTCAGTGGTCCATTCAACAAGCAAAGATGCTAGATGATCCGCAACATTCCCAACCCTACGCACTTGCTCGTCGTCTGATGATAGTCAATTTCGCCAGCATCCACACTCGCTCCCTCGTTATGATGAATGCTCTTAACGATATCACCAAGAACCCAGAGCACATTGACGAGCTTGTGCGTGAGATCATCGAGGTCCTCGCCCACCACGGCGGGTGTTGGAGTAGGGGTGCCGTTGCCGATATGACGAAATTGGATTCCGCTATGCGCGAGTCTCAACGACTTAACAACGGTAACTTCATCACAGTCGTCCGCAAGGTGGTCCAACCAGATGGTATCACCACTCCCACTGGGTTGCATCTCCCTTATGGTACTATTCTGGGCGTTCCTGGTTACGGTATGCATCACGACGAGGACATCTACCCCAATCCGAACGACTATAATCCATTTCGATTCAGCGAGATAGGTGATGGCCAGTCGGAGAAGTCTTCAGGAAGAAGAACCAGGCATAGTTGGGTTACAACCAGTCCCGAGTATACGCCATTCGGGCACGGTCGATATGCGTGTCCGGGCCGTTTCTTTGCTTCAGCAGGGCTTAAGATTTTACTGGCATACTTGATTCTTAACTATGATATTCTGCCGTTAGCCCCACCGCCACAAAACTTATGGCGAGTGGCATCTCAGGTTGCTGGGCTAACGCCTCGCTTCCAAGTTCGTCGAAAAAACAGTGGGTAAAAATATTAGACTATATATTACATATGTAGGATTTATTAGTATCTATGAAAAACAACTTATAACCTATAACTAAAGAAATAAATATTATCCTTAGGTATTATTTATAAGTAATTTTACTAGAATTTAGCTCATCATTTCTCACAGTCAATAACGACTTATTCAGATGTCAATATCATGTATTAAAATCTCAAGTATACTCATCACCTTCCAATACTACCTGTTCCTACCAGTACTACCTCTCCCTGACAGAAACCGACGTTTTACAAATCTAGGCGCGACTAAGGTTAACTAAACAGCGTGGCCAGTTTACATGGGCTAACACCCGCATACAGCAGCGCCTGACAACCTATTTCTCCTTCGTCTCCTTCGTCTCCTTCATCTCCTTCTTGGACTTCTTCACCTTCTGCCCCTTGCTTCTCGTGTTGTTCTTTCTCTTGTTCATCCGGATCTCAAGGCCATTGATCTGTCTCGGGACACTATCCTCCCCGTGTGCTGTAGAGCAGGGGATGACAGACGGGCTGATCCATTGGTGTTCATCCATATTCGGAACGACAAAGCCCTCATACCCCCCTTCATCATCCTCTTCAACCAGAAGCAGGTTACGGTTGTTCTGGATACCTCCCCCCATTTTGATCGGACTGTGGTGAATGCATCGGATAGGGGGGTTCTTGGCAAGTTCCTTGGAGAAGCTGGCGTTGATGGCGTATATCTGTCTGTTCTCTTGTTCGGACCCCGGAGCCGCGTAGGCATTGAACCATTGTGGGCCCTTGTTTCCATCTAGCTTGTAGTAGTGGGTGCCAGATTGTTCATGGTTGATATACAACTGGGTTTGCTGATGTCCGAAAGACTGTTCTTCCGTCGTGGGCGACGTCTTGGTTTGCGGCATCGTATACTGAGATGAAACAGCAGCACGCATATCGGCAAGCGATTTGTGGACAGCTCCTAGGTCGATATATGTTGCTTCGGTGGTTGAAGTATAGGTACTGTTAGAAGAGTCCCTACGAACGAGCACCCCGGACACGGTTCGAGAAGCATCGCCCTGAATTAGAGGACTCGGTGCTTTCTTCTCAGACATGATGCGTATATCAGTTTGTATCTGATGCAGTGCTCTGGACTGAATCTGCTCTATGGCTAGACAAAGGTTGCTCTTCTGTCTCTCAAGTCTAACAAAGATATCAAGAAGATCTTGTTCTCTATACAAGAAGCCCAAGGTGCGAAGAACTCTGCTTTTGCGAAGTAAAGAGTTTAAGCAGTTATTATTGATGATAAAAAGAAGAGCGTCAGTCTGTGTCCCAATCTCAGGGGTCTGGAGAAGGGGGTTCTCAGAGATGCTAGTAGAAAGGCTCTGAAGTTCTTGGAGCTGCTCGTGATATCGTTTCAGCGTCGACGCTCCCCCTTTTATCTTTCTCATGACATCTATCAGAGAAAAACATGCACCGCCAAGCTGGCTCGCCGACGCCGCGACCCCAAGAATCTCTGCCATGATAGCCTCAACTTCGAAGACAAGGCAAGCGAAACCGTCGCAACAAATAGCGGTGAAGAGGTAAAGAAGCCGTGAATAGCTACATCGACAACGATGTCGTCGTCGAGTGGTGTGTCAGAATGCAGGAGAAATTATGGTTGTGCTAACGTGGCATAGGAATCAACCGCAGATTATGAAAATTGTGAAGGGTGCGACCAGAAAAGAAGGCCAAGATGTGAGTATGGCATCAAGTTTTAGGCATCATTGTGAAGAGGAATTGTGAAAAAGTGTGAAAGATGGACAGCAGAGCCTCATGTGTCAGACTGCGGTGAAACCTAAGGCACCTCGAGGGGGCGAAGCAGAGTAACACGGCAGAATAAGGCTACCGGTGTAAAGTTTTTGATACGTTGATCATAAGGCGGTCTGGGACTACAAACAGATATTCATGAGAGGGATGGGAGATCTTGGTGATAGTTGTGAAGATGAGACTTGCACTTTAAGGAGGTGGCGTCGTATCGAGTATTGATTTTCGTCGCAGGAGGGTAGAGGGATGCTTGGAAGTATATGTCAAGTCTTGAAAAGTAAGTAGATAGTTTCTTGGAGTGCTTCGGTGTCCGTTAACCTTAGCGTGTGTCTTCAACTTGGATTGGAGTCAGTATCGGGAGTAAAAGTTGGTTATCGCAGTCGGCCGAGAACTCGCTTTCCACACATCGAAGCTATGGTAAATGATACCTAGTTTCTTGCTCTGGTTAACTCGTTAGCTCTACCCATTCGAAGAAGAGAGAAGTGATAAGTGAGTATGAAAGAAAGAGTCAAAAAAGTAACCTTTTGGGGGCTGTTCGGAGGGGGAACTCGGCCACGTAGGGAACTCCACGTCAAAGATTCTCCGAAGGGAGACTGAACTTGTTTGAACTCGGCTTTCGAATCAGGCAAGTACTTAATACAGAGAGAGTGCCTGGTCGAGTTGATCGTGTTGGTTCAGTTTGCTACGCCACTGTTGGTTGACAACCTGTGTGACGTGACTGGTGTGGATGGATGGCTTGGGAGGAAACGCGATCCTAAAGAATCAAGAAGAGTTGGGGAAACTGGATAGTCATCTACGAGATCGAGGAGGCAGTTTAATTCCCTCAGTTCTATCTTTGCTTAAGTTGAGCATTGTGATGAGTTTGTGACGCTGGAGAACAAAGGCAAGACATCTACATGGCCAAGTCCGCAGGCTGCAATTGTGGTATCACCTACATACTATGCGCACGCCTCTCATGTGCATGTCTCAACATTACATATGTATGATTAATTGAAAGAACTTCCCTTAATAAATTATCAGAGTTCCTCGAGTGTCGAGATACGGCAATTGATGCATTGCTCTCGCAACTTGAGTTGCCTATTTAACAATAGGGGTCCGAAAGCGAAGATATTAATGTTTATGGGCAGTTTTAATCAATACAATATGATATAATAGACTACTTCGAGGCTTTGAGAAATCCTCATATTACGATCTGGTCAGTGGTGTCAATGCTGTTGTTTTTGGAAAGTTTGGACAATTTGAGGCCCCCAACATGCAGACCAGACAGGGGTGACCTGCATAGAGAGGGTGTAGAGCCCTCTCAAATCACGAGTCGGCTCACAAATTAATCAGTCACATGCAAAATTCATTTGTCCCTTGTGTCACCATCCAAACCAACCAGTGTGGCAATACGTCCGACCATACTTCATCATGGTGGGGATGGCTTCACAGGACGACAAAGCCCAATTTGTGGTCCATCCGACCATTATCAACAGCAACTGCGATCTCAAAGGTTCAACTACCCACATTGGCGCCACCTGTTCGGGAAATCAGTTCAATGGAGACATACATCATACCACGAACAAGAACAAAACCATCCATCAATATCTATGTCCGGACCCCACAGCCCACTCGCCCAAGCAGGCATCATCCCAGAACGCCAACTGTTGTCGACGGTGTCGAGATAACCAGAAACTGGTAAACGCACTCCTCAAGTATAGTTTGGCAACCCTGCGACGAAGGAAAAGGTATACCCGCCGGCGTCTCCCGATCATCGTGTAAGTGTGCTTAAATGGGGTCAAGTAACTTGACCTTCCTTTTAATGGAGGGGACAAGAAATAAACGATCGAAGTCTCGGGTTATTTGATACCGAAGCTATTTGGATGTTTCTGTCTTCCAATAAGGAGACGTTCCCCGAATATTGTCTCAGTGACTTCCACTTTACCATGCGTATCGTTGCTGATTAGAGGTCAGGCTCCTTGCTTCACGCCGCAAACATGCATGACGCAGCAGTGGAACTTTCAGGCGGCTAGATCCCGTTCTCGTCGTTTCAGTGCGTGCCTCGCAAAAGAGCCATATAGTTGGCCGAGACAGGTAGAAATACCCCGCAGCCGAATCACCATATCAACAACGAGCTTGTCGACATAAGCAATAATGCTTGGAAAAGGATGGTTAAAAGAAGATGGTTTGAATGGAGAGCTTAATGAGTGGTAAAAGTTATTGTTTCTCTCCTTTATCGTTGGCGGAGGATCGTCTTTACTTCACAGTACATATCTAAATCTACAGTATAGCTGCTTAAGTATCTACATCAAGCATGCCTTATCAAGGTGCCCTCTTGGCTGTAAATGTGTGTAAGAGCTGAAAGATTAATTGGTCAGAACTCATTTTTTGAGGCCAGTGGACACTGCATATATCACTCAGCCACGCCGTATTGATCTTTCAGCTGAACGTTTTGGGCTTTCGATCAAGGTCTGCACGTCATAGACTTCCTACTTCCCCTTTGACAGCTGCTGAGCTTTATCTATAGAAATACCCCTGAGTGTTTCTTAGAAACATTATGTGAGTCAATTAGATCTCTCTTCCCCCTCTGTGTGACTCGTGCTCGATCGGGTGCACTATCGTCCAAGCGCTGTTCAAAGTCCGATATTTATTCCCGGTCACTCCTTGCATACCAATAAGCCAGCTCGAGCTGATTTGTGGTCAGAAATGGGGGGTTACTAATCTGGACCTACGAGACTCTTCATCTCAATCTGTGCTTCTTTTTTCCTATTCCATGTAGCAAAATCTTGTATATCGAGTGTTTCCACCATCTTTATCCCAAGCATGTTTCTGTTAATATATGATAAGTTTTTTCTAACCAAAAATTATGAAGATAGTGACTCTTGTTCTTTGTTCAGCTCTCTTTCGTGATTCTATTGGTGAGTTTTGCAGGGGTATAAAGAGGAGGTTGGTCAGTATGCGGGAGCTTCATGTTGTGCATAACAATCACTCGTCAAAAAACACAAATACGCCATTTTCTATCATTCATTAACCCTCCTGCGGAAGGCTCAAATTCTTATCATAGCAAGGCCCCATCGTAGCCCATCTATCAACATGACAAGCCCCTCAGAAGTAGAACAAGAAGAGCCGGAAGAGATGGGAGCTGAGAAAAGGAACGACGAACACGATGCACTTCCCAAGTATTTGAAGTGCAGTTATCTTGATGCTGTTATCGGTAAAGAGATCCATAACTACTGGGGAAATCGAGTTCTGGAGCATACCAACTCCCACGGCCAAATTCTAGCTCTTAAAGTTAGCAGTCCAAATGGCATTGACCGCTCTCAAGCCGACATGATGCACTATGCCGCAACGCATGGGGTATTAGCACCCAAGGTTCGCGGAGTCTACGACATCATCACCAAACGACCCATTGCATGTGTCATGATTAGCGAGCGTGTTCCTGGAGTGCCTCTTGTCACCGTGTGGCAGAACATGTCTCAAACTGAGCAGGCTTCCATCAAAGAGCAACTTCGTACTCAGATAAAACAAATGCGTACTTTGGTACAGCCGTACATAGGCCGTGTCGACAAGCAACCTACCCGCAACATATACAATACCACTTTTGCTAGGCCCTGCGGTCCATTCGAGGATGAGGAAGCTTTTGATAATTGGTGTCTCGACAGACTTACCGGAGGCTCCCTTCAGCGCTGGAAATGGAAGAGAGTGCTAGAGCGGCAACGACGCAAATCTACCGGACGGTGTGTCCTTACGCATGGCGATCTATCACCGCGTAATATCATGGTTGACGGAAGTACCATCACAGGGATAATCGACTGGGAGCTGAGCGGGTTTTATCCTGAGTATGTGGAGTACGCTTTTGCTTTAGGTATTGGTCCTGGGATGGAGGAGTGGTGGAAGCCTGTCTTAAAGGAGATACTGGAGCCGTGCTCTTTAGAAATGGTCAAGTTCACGGGACTGATCGAGGAGAGAATGGGTTCTTACTAGACTATGAATCGCAGTCCATGGTGGAATGCCAAGGCCAGTGGAACTAATAACGAACAATAATAAGAGAATCAAAAATACTGACTATATGGTCTTACTCTTCTGGCTTTTGGGCCCAGACAACCTTCTGCCAATAATAAGGATGCATAGTCCCCTGTCTCAACTCCCTTCTCAGCATCGATATATACACCTCAACCTCTTCTTTCGTCCAGCCCTCCACTGTGTTAGCCATGAACAACACATAACCCTCGATATCCTGCTCAAGAGTAGCTTGGGCATATTTGCCGATTTCCTTCAATTTGGAATCTTTTGGCCAACCTCCGATGGGAACCTAAGAAAGAGGATATGTAAGCGCAGGCAAAGAGACCACTGGAAGAGAGCCACTTACCTTGAAATCACGTTCCTCAAGATTGACAAAACCGGCCTTTTCCATGGCAGATCTCTGCACTCCATCCTCAACGATTGTGAACGAACGGCCGATCTTCTTACCCCCTTCCACAAAGAACTTTCCCCACTGGTGCATGGCGCTCTTCTCAGTGATAGTCCCGTCATCGCAGTCCATTCTTGAGAGAGCCTCGTGGCTTTCAATATAGCCACCTGGCTTGAGACATCTATATGCTTCTTTGAAGAGCTGGTCCCAGTCGACGATGCTGCCGACCAGCCAGCGAAAGTGGATGTAGTCTTGCGAGTTGGGGGCGAACGTCCACTCTTGAGTGCAGTCTTCAATATCGCTGCCCGAGTGTTAGGCCCACTCGTGAGTATGGATAAAGTTTCTTACAATCGCAGGTTGGGGGGGATCCAGCCCGGTTGAATTGGTGATACGTCAGTGCCTATGACCTGTGTGTCTGGGAAGCTATCTGCGAAATCGCTGTTGAAATCAGTTAATTCCAACCACTTAGTCGTTTAATCATAAACACTTACATAGCCCAGATGCCTATAGGAGAGTGTCGTGTTAGCATGAGTTCATCTAGAGGACAACTTTGGCGCGGTCTGGGTATAGCCTGAGCTCACTTGAGTAGCGACTGGCTTAGACCGCAAGCAGTCCAACTGGCTCTCCAAATTCACCTGTTCCAGTACCGATATCAATAGCATTCTATAAAAGTCAGTAGGGTGCTCCATAGCTACGGCAGCAACTAGCCTTGATATCTTTGGGAATGGGCGCAAGATACAGCGCACCGTCCAAAACCAGCGTCAAAACATGATGACTGTACGTGTCAGTAATCATCCCCGAAATCCGCTTGGTAGACTAACTTGATATCCATCGATTCATTCTGCTTCTCGTCATTTGTTCCCCTATTCTCATTAATCCCGCACCATAGAGTCTCCGGACAACATACCAATACTGTGCATTTCCAATATCATGATGGTAGGTTCTCCCATTGATATTCCTATACTGCAGGATACTCGACGTGATGGACGCCGTCGACTCGGCAGTATCATCTCCCAGAGCAGAATCCGTGTCACCTAACTCCTGGATTATCATTAGTGGCATGATCCTGACCAACGCCGTCTCATACGAACCTCAGCTACCTCAGCCCAATGCCCAGGAGGAAGAAGACCAGAAACATCGGTGGTAGCCTGAGCTGGGTGAGAATTATTTTCTTCTGCCATTCTTGCACGGTTCGTTGGTCGTCTAGGAAGACAGCAGAGTGTGATTTTGCTGTTGCGGTGTTTTTATCTGCTTATCCCTTGTGTCCTGAACCAACACATTCAACAAATCATGCCACGCTTTGCATACCAGATGTGGTTCCAACACCCGGTTTGGTACGGCACAGCAGAAATGTCCAGGGGCCAGTCCTATCGGGTCGTTTGATAAAGTTGCATTGCATGATAAATGGAGAACAATATCCCTACATGTGTCTGTTAGTTTGACAGACCAATCATATGCTGGTTTTAAAGCTCTGAACGTATCCCACACAGCCAAAGCACAAGTGTCGTGAGCGATTTTAAGACTGTTTCTGCGATTTAGCCATTCACGGATATTCCGTAAAAACAATCCTTTCCTCATATTGTATTCACATATCTAGAGTATTCTCTTTCAACCTCAAGATAATCTAGGCCATGAAGACTGTAAACAATCAAATCAAATAAAGGCTAACGCTCCTCATCTTGGGTATCGATCCAACCACTCAAACATCCGCCAACAAGTGACTTATCATATCCCTCGTATGCTTAACAACCGACACACAATGCGGATCCTTATCATGCATCTGATGTGCCAGCCGATGTCCTATACCCGGCGGTACATGACTCGTTCCTGAATGCCACAGGTTCTGTCTATCCTCCATCAACTGCAACATCGCCACGAATGACATGGAACTCGAATGCGCTGTACCAAAAAGCTCAGATTTGATAGCTTTATTCGCAATGTTTTTCCAGTCCTGAGGTTCCAGACTCAGTGAGAATCCTAACGCTTCGTTTTGCGATGTGGCTTCTAGCTTTTGGCCTTCAGTTATGCATAATTCTTTTGATTCTCCTGCATCCTGGGCTCGTCTCGTCTCGTCCTCAACTGACTTCACGATCTTTTTATACCCTTCTGCCAAGGATATAATAAGTGTGTTGAGGAGTTGAGCATTCTGCATTGCCCATAGAAACTTTGTTGGACAAACCTGACACTGTATGATCCCTGCTGCCGTGGTGGTCAAATGCCGCAGAACTGATAGCCGTGCTGTGAAGGGTAAATCATCTGCTTTTCGTACTTCTTCCAGTGACAGGTATAAGCTTGCGAGACAGGCGCAAGTCTGTTGGCCTGGATCAGATTCAAATGCCAATAACTTGGGGTCAACATTGGTCTCGTTGCTAAATCTGAGTCAGCTCAGCCATCAAGGTGACGATTCAGTCAACTCACCCAAGAGGTATCAGATCCAATGGAGCATCTTCAGACATGTGTTGGCACGGATCGAAGCTCCCTCTTCGTCCCATGTCACTTCCAGTGTCGCTCTCAATACTCATCGCCATTGTCGACGGCGATGTCCTGCTCGCACTGCTCTCTTGGGCTTCATTCTCGGACGCTATCTTCCTCTTCTTAGGTCTTCCCATGGGCATACGAGCCGAGAACTTGCACAGCTCTCCAAGAGTAGAGCATCGTCCACAAGATGGATAGCTCCCGTCACATTTGAGCTTCTTTTGTCCTTGCAGATTGATCAGCATGCGTAATATAAGTTACGGACCCCAAGTGTAAGCGGGAAAGTTGCGCGGACATACTGCACTGATCACATGAAGCTCTCCTATTGGCAGGATCTTGTAGATCGGGGGACATTATGTAAAGGATATGAGAGAGAAGTAGCACAATTTATATACAAAGACAGACCAAGAAATTGAGAGATGTTTAGTTGTAGGATTATCATCTTGTAAGCCCAACAAGGAACAACCGGACGGATCTCATGTTAACGTGAGAGCGACAATCAGCGGATCCTACGACAAACTCCGCCCCGCCGCTCGAAACTCCCCGTAAGCTGTAAGAAAAAGATACAGATAGAGATCAATAAGTCACCAGAGTTTCAGTACACACAATGTAAGATTTTAAATTCTAATAAGAGATTGCAATCATACAAGATGATTCTCACAGTATTCCTAGAACGCTACGACCAAGAAACTAATACAAGGCCCATATTGTACTACCTCACTGTCTCCGGAGTCTGTCCAATATTCTTGACACCTAAACGCCGCTAAGAGACCCTGGACCGGAGCCCGGGACTTGCATATTCCGACAGAACCAACCATCGCAGGGGAAAAAATTATTTTTCCTTCGAGCTACTGATAAAGCCCCCACTATCATATCAAACTGAACTTTTTTGTTGCATCCCCATCCCATCTACAACTTTGCGACAACAATGGCGCCCTCAAAAGAAGTTGTCGCTCCCAGCGCTGCCGCTGTCACGGCAATTGACCCTGATCAGGTTCGTTCCTCCAAGAATCCAATGGTACAACACATCTAACAAGTTGTTTGTAGACCTTGAAAGCTTCCAAGGCTCTTCTCGCACACATCAAGAAGGCTGCCAAGCAAAAGGCCGCCGAGTCTGAAAAGCGCAATCTCCTCGACGACGATGAAGACCCTACTACAACCCCCATCTGGCTCAACCTGACGACCAAGCGTCACATCGTCGACAAGGCGCGTCTGCAGCCCGGAAAGATCTCCCTTCCTCACTCGCTCAACAACGAAGAGACCACCATCTGCCTCATCACCGCCGAGCCCCAGCGCGCCTACAAGAACATTGTCGCCTCTGAGGACTTCCCCGCTGAGCTGGGCAAGCGCATCACTCGTGTCATCGACTACGGAAAGCTCAAGGCCAAGTACAGCCAGTACGAGGCGCAGAGGAAGCTCTTCGCCGAGGCGGATATCTTCCTTGGCGACGACCGCATCATTAACAGATTACCCAAGATTTTGGGAAAGACCTTTTACAAGACAACGCAGAAGCGACCTGTCCCTGTTAACCTGCAGGCCAAGGCTCCCAAGGTCGATGGAAAGCGACAGAAGCGTGTCAAGACTGAGGGAACCGTCAACGCAGGCACACCCGCCGAGATCGCCGAGGAGGTTCAGAAGGCTATCGACTCTGCATTCGTCAGCCTGACCCCTTCGACAAACACCTCGATCCGAATTGGATACTCTGGTTGGACCGCCGAGCAGATCGCCGAGAACGTCGATGCCGTTGTCACCGGCATGATCGAGAAGTGGATTCCTCAGAAGTGGCGTAACATGAAGAGCATCTACATCAAGGGTCCCGAGACCACCGCCCTTCCCATCTGGTTGACCGATGAGCTCTGGGTTGACGAGAAGGATGTCATTACCGAGGGTGAGGCCGCCAAGGGTGAGAAGCCCAACATTGGAAAGAAGCGCAAGTCTCTCGACAACACCGACGAGGCTGAGACTCCCGCCGCCCCTACGAAGAAGGCCAAGAAGCAGAAGCAGCTCCCAGAGGCTGACGACGGCAAGCTCGATAAGCAAATCTCGGACCGCAAGTCTCGGCTGAGAAAGCAAAAGGCATCGGCCAGCAAGGCCATTGACAACTAAAACGTGCAATTCAAGGCATCGGTGTTGAGGCGTTCGTTGAAGGGCGGAAAACCCACAGAATAGAATTGTAGCTATAATTGCATTAACAATACAATACAATATTGATGGTTTACGCATGCCTTGTGCCTTGTTTGAAACAATTGCCTGATAACAAGATAGAATCAGGGGTGCTTGCAGGAGGATGAAACGCCTATCTGACCCACGTCCGCCGTTGAGCTTTCACAAAGAGGTCTTTCTCAAAGGGTTGGTTCTGCTGGTAATTGAGACGATTTCTGTGCATAGTAGGGACGACGCACATGTGGACGAGTTATGCAGGGGTATAACAGTCTGTAGAATAACTATAATAATAAAACTAATAATTGACTTAAACCAACTCCAACTGATCCCGGGGGCCCTCAATTTCTGACTTAAAGGTTCGTCTCCATGGGCCGCAGTACTTGGTGATGGCCTCGCGCAATAGCTCAGAGAGGTTTTCGAGGTGTTTGCCAGGGGCACTTTCATATTTGAGACCACCGTTGCGATCAAGCTCGCGAAGGCCGAGCCAATCCTCCTGATAAAGCTCGCGAGCTCGAAGAGGGATAACTTGTGTGCCATTGACCTCCTCGAACCACGAAGATTCTTTCGGGATAACAAGATCATCCTCCTCAAACATCCACATGACGAAGTTGGTCAACTTGCTCAGATTCGCCTTGTATTTTTGGTTTTTCAACTCGCGCTCGTTGTTGATGTCGGCTAGGTAGTTGGAATTCTCGAGGTATTTGTTGTAATCGTCTTCGGTTGCTGGGTTACGGTAGTATTGCGCGGGGACGAGGGCTGACTGTACAGCTTTGCTCCAGGTACCGAGTCTCATGAGAGTCATAGCTCCCTTGCAGAGCCAGTCGGTAGCGCCGCAAGCTCTGAAGTCGATGATGCCATTATGTTGGCTGCCAAATGTGATGAGACTGCGTACTTGTGGCCAGTTACAGCGCTCGACATAACCGCGGAGGAACTGTCCGCCCTGGGAGATACCGATGGCATCAATAGCGGGCGCGGTGGACAGAATGGGGTGCTTGGCGAGTTCTTCGCAAACCTTGCTGACTTGGTCCGAGACATTTCCCTTAAAAGTGGCCATTTGATCCTGACTGGGATCTTCTTCGATGGCGATGATATGAACAAATGTTCCGGGGTGGATGTCTTGAGCGAGAGCTTCGATGCTCTTCATTCCGTCGCTGTTGAATTGATCACCAAGGCCGTGCCAAACAACAATAGGTAATGGGTCATCGGATAGGTCATCCCTTGTGCGTGGTGCAGAAGGGGCCGGAGAAGCATAGCCCTGCTCAGCCAAGCCGATGGCCAACCCTAGCCGGAGTAAGGATGGGGCAAGCATGATGATAATGTTGATGATGATGATGAGTTAGAGAAGAAGATGGAGATACTGATGGAGACGGAGATCCGTTTGGAGCTGAAACAGCACCTGCCCATGTATTTCTATGGGTCCTTCCCCAGTATTGAAGTGGGAGCTGGCTATGAGAGGAAAGAAAACTCAAATCCTTGATCCTAAATGACAAAAGTACTTAGGTAACTTTAGCCTAAGTTAGGGCACTCTTCACTGAGTTTATTTTAGCACCCCCTCCAAAGTCGTATGTTTTCTCGCTCCCTGAGGGCTGCAGACGTCAGCAGCCAGCTATGACCCCTCCACTTTCCGCTGAGGTTCGAGTACGACTTCTAATGATACATCAGGGTGCCAGAATAAACTGGTCCAGAATATGCTAAATTTGCCCAAGTCTTTTCAGTACCTAGGCTAAAGGGCCCTAAATCTTCTTTCCTCCCCTTGGGGACCTTGAGAAGGTTGGTGGACGTGGATAAAGTATATCATTAATGGGGTAATTATTGTTAATATATTTGGCTATGAGAAAACGAAGGCTAAGGTGTTCTGGAGGTAATGTCTATTTGTGCCGAATTGCCCACCAAGGTAGGTACCTCGATCTACTCCGTACCTTAACTACCTGAGGTGGCCGAGATGCCTATCATCACCGGCAGAAACGAACTAGGATGTCTGGCCTTATATCCGATCGTCTTGAACTCCATCATCAAGATAAGATAATCACGACAACTCTGTATAAGAGCTTTGTGCCTTTAAAATACTGGCCTTATGCCCTTGTATTATGTTTATAAACAAATCGTGCTCGGGCAGTGAAATGTTTACTGTCGACGGTGTATCTGAGGCTTGTGATTAACTGCGCCACAGTGGCCAGCTTCAGCCACATCGCAATTGCTTTGCATCATGACAACTGAAGTAATTTTGAGTCTACGCGACAACAGGCATCATCGCCGTTACTTTCATGAGACTTCTGCGACTTTTATATCCCTAATTCATACTGAGCATCCGTAATTGAACCCGGGAAAGCTTGCGCGTTACAACGCCAGCGGCGAGGCCCACTTGTTCCAATTCATCAACCACTCTATTCTGACACCGAACAAACGAACTGCAAACTTGCGACAACAATCATATATACATCATCTCTACCTCTCCAATGACAACCTCAAACAATGGTCCGTCCGCGGCCACAAACGGCGACGCTATACCCAAGATCGGACCCCATCCAGGCACAATCACCAGTTCGAACCAATATACATCAGAGCTCAAGCTGCGACGTATGCTCAAGGACCATGGCTGCGATCCCGCAAGACAGGATAACTACCGTCTTCAAGGTGTGCAGCTGATCGAGAACGTGAGGGATTATCTACAACTGTACGTCGGGTCTTGCTACGGGAGGACGTGGGCATTAGATACTGATTAAGTAACAGACCTGTGAGGACATTCGATACGGCCTGCACGTATTTCCACAAATTTCGACTCAACTTTAGAGACGTCGAGTACAACTATCAAGACGCTGCACTAGCATCGCTATTCCTCGCGTGTAAGGTGGAGGATACTATCAAGAAGTCAAAGGATATTCTCGCGGCGGCATATAACGTGAAGAACCCCGAGAAATGTGTCTCACCCGATGACAAAGTAAGTCCAACGAACAGCAAACACAGCCCCGTACTAACCCTCTTAGATGTTCGATGGCCCCAGCAGAATCATCGTCTGCCTCGAACGTTGCATCCTCGAAACAATCGGCTTCGACTTCCGCACACGCTACCCCCAAAAACTCCTCGTGAAAGTCGTCCGCGACATCTTTGGCAAAGATCATGGAAAACCCTTCTTCGAGACCGCATACGCAATGTGCATCGACATGTACAAGACCTTTGTACCCATCAAGCGCACAACGTTCTCGATGGTCATGGCAGTTGTGGAGCTCACAGCCCTCATGACCGGACAGCACGTTGACAGAGTTCGAGAGTACGCAAAGACGAAGCGTCAGTACGACTGGGGTTCTGTTATGGAGACCATGCTTGATATCCTGGATCTATACGTTCAGCATGGTAAATCTACCAAAGTCGGGGCACAGTTTGATCAGAATATGATCATCGACATCAAGATCCGGCTTAACAACGATCTTGACAAGGCGTTCAAACCTCGATATCTGTACTACTGCTCCCGCTGCGAAGCCGAAGACCCCCAACCTTCTACACCTGCATCAGCGACATCACCCGCGACATCAACGTCATGGCCAGGTGATGCATCTGGAAAACGAACGGTGAAGGGGCAGGAGGGGACGTTGCGTTTTGTGTTTGAGCCCGAGGCTGCAGTGAGTGAAAAGGAGATTACTGAAGCGTTCTTTAAGGAAGAATTCGAAGAGTATGAAGTCGAGGTTGAAGAGCCGGTGCCTCCGCCGCCGAGGGAGGGTAGAGGGGGTTATCATGGGCATAGGGAGAGGGGGGATCATAGAAGGGGAGGACCGTATGGGGGATATCGAGGGGATAGACATTACAGAGGAAGGGGTAGACACTACTGAGGCTAGTCACGCACAAGGACACTTCTATTCGAGATACCCATTCCTATTGCCATGGTAGCATAATACTCTAATCACACTGATGGTCTTACATCCAATCGTCCATTCAGTCATTACATGGATATCATCAACCTAAGCCTTCTTCTCTCCCTTGACCTCCCCATGATCCCCAATCAACAAATCCTCTCCCGACGGTCCACTCGACTTGACACCCTCGAACTCCCCTCCATCCCTCTTCACATCCGTCTCCTCGGCACTCTTGACACTACTCGCCTTACTAACATCGGCGCTCGCAGGGCTCTGAACCCTAAGGCCCAAATCTTTCTGATTGTCCGGATCTTCCATATTCGCACCCTTCCAATCCGCCGGCCGAACCTGTGGCACGGGCTGTCCCTCTTCTGGCTCGAGGACTTCTTCAGGGAGGGCGTCAGTGCCGGCGACACGCCATACTACGGCGATTCGATCAAACGCTCGTGAGCCTTTGCGGCTGGATCCTTTGATCCCGTCCATTGCGTCCCATTCAATGCTGAAGACGCCGCTATCAAGGGCCTTGCCGTCTCGTTCGGGGCCTTGGCCTTCGAAGAACGTGTTGAACCACACGTGTGCGACGGCTGTTACCATGGTTAGGCCCATGCTCTTGGGGGTCTTGTTACGACGCTCGACTGAGATGTTGACATCGCTGTTGGGGATGCGGATAGGGGCCTTGGGTCTTAGAATAACCGCCATGCCACCTGGTTCTTCCTCCGAGTTTGCTTCCGTAACATCAGTTTTTGACGATGTAGCAGAGTCATTCTTGGTTCTCTCAACGCCCTTATGGGAGCCTGCGGGCGAGACCTTGTGAAGCATCTCTGTGCCCTTTCGTTTGATAGTCTTCGCCTTGCCAACATGCTCCTTCTCCTCAGTTGCTGATGTTGGCGTTTCACCTGGGTTCGTTGCCTCAGAAAAGTGTGCTTCGTCAGGGGCTTTCTCCTTTGGCTTGGTGACCGAGTAACCGGCCATTTCCCATATCATATCGCTAATACCACTCTCCTCGGGTGCTTCAGGATCAACAACCACACGCTCTTCCTTCTTGAATGTGTGGAAAACATCGATCTTCTTGCCCTCATCTGCAAAACCTTCGATATCAACCTTGACGCCGTTGCGCAAACCCCAGACGTGAATCTCAGGGATCTCAATGGGTCGGTCGGTGTATTTTTTGCCACCCTTTGTCCAACGTTCAACATAGCTGATCCAGCGCAATTGTGAAGGGATCGAAACACCAGCGCCAAATCTCGGTCGCATCCGTCGTTCCGTGAAGCGCGCAAGGGCATCTTCAGGTTTCCAGCCCTCCTCTGCGATGAGATAGCTGCAGCTCGCTGTGCCACTTCGTCCCTTGCCGGCTTTGCAATGAACCACCACCACTCTCTTGTCACGCTTTTCCTTCCTTTGCGCCTCGGTAACGGCATCTGTACCAGAAGACATGGGTCTTCCGTCGCCCGTGACTACACCACCACCTAATTCTCCGCCATGCAACCAATTGCGCATACTCGCCATGATCATGGGCACGAGTCTGAATGGAGGAGGGTGATGATCAGGCCATGGGTAATGTCTCACGCGACCATATACAGATTCATCAGGATAGCCTGTTCCTTCGGCGCGGAACTCCCATATGGCCCAATCTTCACCGTGTTTCGAATCGAGGAATTTGACGAGTTGGTCGAGAGGGTTTCGATATGCGAGTTGGGGATATGTTTCTGAAGGACCAGATCTAAGAAGCCAGCTGTTAGCAGGGTCGCCAGAAAACGAGATGGCTTCAAAGGGACCTGTTGCGATACCACTCCTCCGGGAAAATTCTGCCAATTGCTAGACTTACGTCGCGATGATATGGTCTGTAACATAGCACAAATCCAAGCCAGCCTCAGGATGCCGAGCTCGCGGCCCCGCGACAATCTGTCGCAAGATCGAAGCCATCACCAGCAGCGGTCGTAACGTTGTAGAGGTCCCTTGATAGTGTTCAAGATAATCAACTACAATTGGGTTCGGCTGAAAGTGGTCGTTAAATGAGGCGATGGGTTTGGGATGAACAGAACAGGCTGAGGCCGCCTGGTCAAAAGATCCATACGTAACTTGCCTGGCGACGTCATCTCTTGCGCCCCCACCAAGGGCCCTGATCTTTATCGGGCTTTGATATCATCGCCAGCACATGAAGAAATTGCTGCAACGAGATGAGATGCTTACCATGACAAGATTTAACAGGGAATACAGCTAAATAGAAGCTTCGTTCTTTGTTGAGCATTATGACAGAGACCAAGTCGGGCCTTAAGCCATCGAATACTCTCAATGTCTTCTTGTCTGAGAACGCACCATACTTCGATGCCAAGTTCACAGCCAAGTCTTTCACAGAAACACCAATTACAGATCAAGAAAGCTATACTTGAGCAGTGAACAATTAATCATGCTGTAAATCACTTCAGCAACGGCACAAGTCATGATCAAACCTGAAATTCGAATACAATAAAGCTAACACCAGGAAATCCATACCCATCCATCCAGTCTCCTTCGTTAGCTTCCCCATCATTCCCATGGGCACTTCCATTTCCTCCTCAACACCTCGTGCACCAAGTCGATATGCTCGGCCCACAAAGGTCCCTCCGCGTGCGCGTGAGAACAGTCGCCAGAAAAGTTCTCCAAGTATAGGAATAAAAAATACAGTCACGAGGCCAAGCCTCTTTTCCACGTTCCTATGGTTGTGCAGCTATACTCGCTACACCCATGTTCTTTAGCCAGTCTGAAATCGTCGTCGCGTTAACTGCAGAGCAGCTAGTTCCAATCGTAGCGTCATGGCGTTTCTATCTTGTCTGGTTCCGCTATGCCTCAATTCGTATCCATTCAGTATAATCAAGTCAGACTGACTTGAAGCTGCGTATCGTAGTGTCGGGCTTATGTGGTCTTCTTGGCAGGGCCGCCAATGTACTTTCTGACGTCAGTAGCATCGTGGAACTGCTTGCCAGCCTCCTTGACAGCGCCCCAGACCTGTCGCGCGGCAGGGGGAGTACCCTGAGCACTAACGAGGGAGTCGACACGAGCACCGAGCTGGCGGAAAGCGCTCTGGACATGCTGGCTTTGGGTGTAACGAGCACGGAGGAAAGCAGTGTAGAGAACAATGAGGATCCAAGATCGACGCTGGAAGAGAACAGCGGAGAGAAGGATACGTCCCCAGAGACCGATCTCAAGGTAGGAGACGATGGCCATGGAAGAGTCATAGTACTCCTTGACGAAAGCGCCAATCTGATTAGCAAGAGGGCTGTTGACAGCTTGACGGTTAGGAGAAGCACCATCAGCAGCCTCAGGCGCAGGCTTGGGCGCAAGGACCACGGGGATGAGGTTGGCACGGGTATAGGTGGCAACGTGGAAGACCGAGTAGATCGTGTAAGGGATCAAGGCGAGGGGGTACTGGGGAGAGAAAAGCCACACGAGGGCCATGGCTTTTGGAGGTCAGCAAGGTTGCGTGGATCTAGCAAGATATGCTGCAGAAGCTCTTACCAAGATACTGGATGTTCTCGTCACTAAGGAGATCCATGGGAGTGGTAGCAGGTCGGGCGCTAGTCTTTGCGCGAGCGCGCATGGTCTTGTAGACGACAATGCCATAGGTGACAGCGGCAGCGATAAAGGCAGTGCGGTAGGACAGCTGGGCCATGCGGGTGTAGTAGTTCATTCGAATCCAGGACAAGAAATATCGGCCCGTTGTAAGGATCAGAGTGAGGTGTCTATAGTCAAGAGAGCTTGTCAGTCACAGATCTCGCTATTTGTTGGTGATGTGAGCTCCAAAGAGGGAGGCTGAGGATCCAAAACAGCTATCGTGGCCATTTCGTCGCACCGAGGCAGAGCGGGACAAAGGTGAAGTTCATGACAAGACGTACCCGACAAACCAACCGACTAGAAGAAACACCAAGTTAGCAATGCGATTCCATTACAATGTCTGCGCGCAAGGTCGCATCTCAAGATACCACGTACACTGGAGGGTCTTGGCAAGGGCCAGAAGCCTCTCCTGGAGAGGAAGATTGGGGTTCGGCGGGGGAGCCATTGCGTCTAGAGATAAGAGAGTCGAGAAATGATGCGATCTAGTATAGTTTTCAAGGGACAGAGCGTGCGCGATGGTCGTTGAGGACGGGCTGATGCTATTATTGAGAGTCGAAGATGCTGCTGATGAATGACGATGTCGTAAGGAAGAGAAGACAAGTTGTGGGCTTTGGCTTTTGGAAGTGGGTAAGAATCAAGGCAGGGGAGAGAGTGATGGAATGGACTGTGGCAGTGACGGAGCCCGCCCCCGCTTTGGATTGAAGTGCTCCAAGCTCCAGGGCTCAGGACAGGTTTCAGCGATCGGTTTCCAGCGCGGTTAAGCAGCTGAGGCGCTAAAACGGCTGCCTATCTTTTGAGGGGGGAAGAAATGACCGGGGGCTGGGCGCTATCTAGGACCCGACGGGAGGGAGCTCGAGGTGGGGGGAAGGACAAAGAGGCTGGTAAGGGAGTTTGTCTGAGACTGTGAAAATGAGGAAATTAATATTGATTGTGGTTTCGTAGAGTCGCACCGAATTTTTAGGTCGCGTTTGATAGGTTTGTCCTTTGATGTATCCATTGGTTGTACACGACACCAACTGAAACGCTTGTCCAAGCTTATCGAGAAGTGGTGATGGCTTCGATGACGACAATTGAGTTGTTTGAAAGCACGTGAAGGCGCCACTAGTCGGAGAACTTTCCTGTAAATCCAACCCGCCGCAGCATAATTCTTCTACCTAGGTACGAACTCGTGCTATAGTATGAGCTACCTTGAGTCTCTTTTTGCCGATTTCATCCAATGTACGAAGCGATGTCTTTTTCAATTCTCGTCGTCATTCGAACAAAGTGTTTCAATAAGCTGATTTTCGAGCTTTGACTTTCGTCATCGCCTGATACCAGCTTTTACCAAGGCCCAGGCCCCTGCATAGCTGAACCGCGCGAACTGTATCTCAGCCAATGAGAGCTGGACATTTCCAATGGGTGGGTGGGACTTTGAATCAGCTTGTGAGCGGCTAAAATCTCCATTGTAGACTTCACGACGACATCGTTCAGATATCTAAGAACTCCATGGGAAACGGGGCGAACTTCGAAAGATAGCTTGAGTCTTGTTTGGGTATTTCGGCCGTATGAGGACGTGATGTGGCTTTGCTGTTGGTATCGTGTTTACACGTTGTGCTTTAAGATGGAGGAGTTACTCTGCACCATTTATAGATGTTTCGTGGCTAGGCGGGAGCTCACTCGGAAGTGACAACTCTTTCTCAATAAACTCAAACACGATAACTACTCCATGAGAAAGACATCTTCAATACCAAGAAGGTTCATCCCCGTGTAGAAAACTGCTCAAGTCTTGTGCAAGGCACGTCCGAGTATGAGCAGCAAGCCATCAACTGTGTTTGTATAGTGACATTTTATTAGAATGCTGCATTGAACAGCCAACCCTAGTTTTATAGAAAACTCCTGGTCTATGGTTGCCTCTTAAATTATATATCAGAGCCTCTTTGAGTTGATTGGCTCATATTAACATTTCAACAAGCTATTGTGCTCCAGTTGGAGCCTCGAAGCTTATGTATGCGCCGAGGGGAAGTACCCTTGATACTCTGTTTTATCTCCATATAGTTTGAGGTTATCATTCACATGAATGAGGCCATGGAGAACTTGTCAACGTTGCGACCACATCTTCAAGTTGCATCTTCCCTTCTCCATCGTCCGCATATTCCGTTTGGTGTTGCTGATTGCTCGCAGACGACAGCTTTCTTGGTCACTCATTGTCAATACCAACAAGCATGCCTTCGCAAGGACGAGACATCTGCAAACAAAGTTGTAGGCTGCGAAGATTTTATGGGGCGAGATCTCCTCACATGCTCACGTTGTGATGCTTTGCCAAACGTTGTTACTAGGTGCAGACCACTTAGGGGAGTCGGAGGCTGCGACGACACTAGGTATTGGCGATGGCAGGAGTCGGGTTAAACTTAACTTGAGACTGGATTAGGTATTCTCTCTTTCTTAACGTGGGTATTTATTACGATGCCTGCCATGGCCATAGCTTCCATTGCCGTCATATCTCAGGAAGGTGACACTCAGTAAAGTTACTACTTCTTCTCCAAACAACACACCAAGTCACTTCGACTCTACAACTCTCAATATTGATCAAGGCTACAGAGATAGCTATATCTTCTTTACTTCATCACTTGCTTGTACCAGAACATACACACGAGTAGTCTACCACAATGGAACCTCTCAAACGCGAGATGTGCTATGAGCTTCTCGTCAAAACTCCCGGGCTATCATTCCCCGACCCCTCGACCACTGAAGCAGCCGAGTTCTCAAAAAGCTGTAAAACAGTCTTTGGCGGCCCAGCTCCACGACCACACATGAACAAAGCGGAGGCAGAAGACAAAATCTGCGAGTTCTTAACCGAATGCGAGAACCACTTCCACAGACTCACCATGTGTCCCATACACAATATCTCCGCGCGACCATGCGAATGCCCGGAGAAGTCGGCTAAATACTACTATCATATTGCTAGTAGTCTCCAGGGATCTTGGGGAAGGCCTATGGATCCCTATTGCATTAGATCCATAGTCGAAGCAACCTTGTGCGCTCGAATCGAGGTCATCAAGAAGAATGGTGGTATCCAGAACGACATAAATGGGGCAAACAACCTCATCTTACTCAACGTTCACATCCTTCTCTGCAACTTTGCCTCCTTCAAACACACTCATTCTTATGCTCCTGTGCAAACTCTGTGCTGGACTGTCAATGGTGCTCTTGAGTCGCAACAAGAAGCTACAAAGAGGAAGAAAACGCTTCTCAAGCAACGAGAGGTTAAGAAACTCAAGTCTGCTTCGGGTGCTGGAAGTCTTCCTGCGACAGATGCGGCTGTCGCTAAGGAAAGGTTCGTAATACTTTCGATCTGTTGTAGCTGTAAGCTGACTATCAAAGGAAACAATGAATGGCTGGCCTCAGGGAAGAAGAAAATGTAAGACTTTAGAAGAAGAGGTCAAAAAACTTAAAAGAGATCCCCCTAAGGTTGGGCTAAATTTCTCAAGTCTTTTGATCACTTAGGATAAAGATCCTGAGTTTTCTTGCCTTCCCCTGGCCGGCGCTACGAGGCCTCGACTTTTTCAACGAACCGAAGATTGTTTGGACGTGGCTTGTGTCTATGGAGAAGCGAAAGGAGCTTGCGCAGTTTGGAGTTGGGGATTTTGATGTTTAATAGCGGGCTCTCATTAAGAATAGCGATTCTGACATTGCCAAATTGAGTTATCCATGCCACCATACCTAGATGAAGGTACACTTTCTCATTAGCCACTACAGGATCACCTTGATGATGCAGCTACAGCAATCTGCTGCCACATACGACCATAGCTCTTGGAGAATACGGGATCCCGTCTGCTCTCCCATCGTCAAGCCGAGAAGCGGTGAATTAGTACTCAGGTCGGTGACGACTGTGGAATCCTCACTGTTGTATGTTTTGCTGGTGCTTTCCATTTTTGCTAGATCTGGTTATGAATTGATGTATGTTAAATGCTCTCAGTACTGTCGCCTAGCGGCCCAGGGTATACAGGTATAAGCCGATCAAGCACCTGGGGGACAAGCCCTATTGATATGCAAGGTGCTCAAGTGTAGAAGCGTAGAAGAATGATTGGAATATCTGTCTTGGTAGTGTATTAGTGATAGCTCTCTATCTACCAATGGATTGAGAGAGGTTAGGATGGTAGCAAATCGGAGGGGAATGGTGTTGATCACCGTTTCGCCATAAGCCTCATACGTAATGATCCATTTAGATCTTCCCCGGCATCGAAGCCTCTGCTCGAGATATGAAACAGTTTAACAACTTGATGTCAATTGAAGGTTGAATACCCCGGAGCATGAGTTCCGATGCCCGCCGATCACAGGATTCCACCATTCGCAAGAATTGCATCACAAAAGGATGGGCAATCCAAGATGCCCATCAGCCACGAATGTCAGCTTCACACCCCATCCATCAAACGGGCATGGCAGGGAATAATTCAGGTACAGCCACCGCTGTCACGACGACTTTTCGGCTCTTTGATGTCTGTTTCATCTATTCTAAAAACTGGACCCCGTGGGGGATGATGTATCTGGGACGTCAATTGCCCTCACGCCAAGGAGATAACCTGGTAACATGACCAGACAAGCAATTGAGATGAAACGATCCGACAGGCGGACATGAAGCTCCGGCTAGAAAAGAAATTCTATGGATCCCTGCCCCATAATGGTAGAGGGCATTCTCGTGGCTCAGAAGTTCCGTGTCGTCGTGTGTTGGGAGTGTTTGGTGAGACGAACTGGGTAATGCTTACGTCGCCGACACGTCAGATTTAGCAAAAGAAATGTTCAGTGTTGGTAACACGATGTGAGACAGAAAAGATATAAATATTGAGATGAACGGATACAAAATATCACGATGTCGGTCAAATCCTGATGTCTTTGTCAATTGATCTCCATCTTACACAACTTCAACTGAAGCAATAGCCTTTTCAACATGTCTGTATCAATACTCAGGCGAGCAACTTGCTCAATCGTTAGCAAGACATACTGTCATGCACGGATAGCTGCTCTTCAGCAAACACCTCTTATCTCCAAGCCAATTCGTCAACGATCAATGCACACCACAGGAAATGACAGTGCAACACCAATGAACCCGGACCCTAGAGAGAATCCTGCCCATGAACTCACTCTACCACGAGGAACAAATGTCGGCCGCAAGCGTTTCGCAGACTTTGAACTCGCCGGAAAGGTCTTTGTCGTCACAGGCGGTGCTCAAGGCCTTGGACTGACTCTGGCTGAGAGTCTCGTTGAAGCTGGCGGGAAAGGTATGTCAACCACATGATCGAACTCAACAGGAACTAACTTAGTACAGTGTATTGCTTGGATCGTGCCGATCAGCCCGACCAAGGATGGCATGAAGCACAAACACGCGTCGTCCCAGAATGGGGCGGATCTCTACACTACCGCAAACAAGACGTATCAGAAGCTGAAGGCCTCGATAAACTCATCACCACCATCGCAGATGAGAACCAAGGTCTCGACGGCGTGATAGCCGCAGCAGGCATCCAGCACATTTCGCCCACCGTGGAATACAGCGCAGATGAAGTAGCACAAATGCTCTCCGTCAACTACACAGGCGTTTTCATGACCGCCAAATCCGCCGCCAAGCAAATGATGAAATACAAGAAACGCGGAAGCATCTGCCTCATCGCCAGTATCTCCGGTCTCAAAGCCAACCGCGGTCTTGTTTCACCCGTGTACAACTCCAGCAAGGCAGCTGTAATCCAACTGGCGCGCAACCTTGCTATGGAGTGGAGTCCTATCCAGAAAGACGGCACAGGAGGGATTCGCGTCAATTGTATTAGCCCTGGACATATCATGACGCCTATGGTGCAGAGCAACTTTGAGGAAGTACCTGGTATGCGGGAGGAGTGGGAGAGGGAGATTATAATGGGGAGATTGGCGGAGACGCAGGAGTTTAAGGGTGCGGCGTTGTTCTTGTTGAGCAATGCGAGTAGCTACATGACGGGTAATAACCTCGTGATTGATGGAGGACACACTTCGTGGTAATTGATGGAGTGGTGTTGATAAGAAGATTCGATGACTGAAGAGGATAATCGATGATATATTAATAGCAAGCCGAGCCATTTGTATCACAATGCAATTCTCATACCTGTAGTATGGCCTTGTCCAAGTGCCTCGTTCTCTTAGACGGTAGATGAAGCCACAAAAGCGAGCTTTAAAAATGCATTCAAATATTGGACCCCATGTACCTCTAGAGACAATGCGCTCCTGAGCAAATCCCGGGAACTTTCTTTGCAGAAACTATCCAGCTATATGAACCAAACACACTCCCCAGACCCTGGGCCCGCGTTGTCCCAACCATAGCGAAACGCCCTTATAACAGGTTAGAACTCCCATATGCCAAATACAAGCCCAGAAATAACTCGAAACAACGCCAGATGACAAAAGAATCAGTAGTCTCCCTGTCTTTCAACCTTATATCCATGACTTGCCAGTTACTACGGCTCTTCAGCGGCATCAGAGTACAGAGGCCCCCTTGACCCTATTAGGTACCAAAAACCGGAACTAAAGCTCCTCCAATCTTCTTCATACAGGACTGAACTTCCGTCAAGGTGCTCTAGTATGGTTTTGATCGAATTGAACTACCTCCAGACTTGGACCTGGGACGAGAAAGCATGTTCTTCAGTGGCGCCAGCTCGCTCTCCTCGACCAAAACATCAAGACTGGACTTTATGCACTCCAAGCGTTCATCCCGCCCCCAATCGATGATATTTCGGACGAACCTCCGAAACTCGAGAAACTCTTCAGGTCGCTGGAGGATGAAGGTCTTAATCTTTTGCATATGTATGAAGTCTCCATCCTTCCACGAGACATGCAATCGAGCTTCAGTTCCATTCATGGCAACACTGAAGCTCATGCTATCAAGTGGTCCTCTGCGTTCGATATCTGTGCACCTCTCAAGCCTTTCCTTCAGTCTCTCGCTAATATGGATGCAGGTCGTGGACGCTCCCAGGCATTGGTTCGTCGCCACCTAGAGACTACCTTTGCTGGATGGTCCGTCGCCTTTGAACTCGACTGTAAAGAAGGGAAACGTGAGGCCCTCGCTGTTTGCGAACGCAAAGTTACCACATGTTGCGATCTGAATTTGCTGGTCGTGTTCGAAAGCAGAGAAGCGGTACCCATATAGGAGATCGGGAACAGGAATGCTGATTCTCGCGTATGGATTGGTGATGGGAATAACGGCCCTGCCGACAAAGACGCGATCGCTGCGCTGGATCTTATCTGTGCTAGAACTCGGGGGGATGATGTTGTTGCGAACAAATTCCTCAACTTTTGGTTCACTGGCACCAGCCTCCAAGGCATAGAGATCATCATTATCCTGGGGGATAGGCTCAGGAGATGATCGGCCTTTCTGGAAGGATTCGACAAGTGCTGAGATATGAGGCGGGAGTTCAGTTCGAGAGTCGAGTAAGAGGATGTTGTTGAGTGCAAGGTTACAGTCTCTGTAGAGGGCACTCTCTACGAGAGGCCCGTTGGATCGATTGGGCGTGCCTGTGCCTGTTGGGTAAATAGTAGGCGTCGGGTCAATAGACGGACCCCCTTCTTTAGAAGTGAATCCAGGAGACGAGCGCTTGAGGGAGGATTTGGGAGAAAACGCCAGGTCAAATGTGACAGTTTGACCGGTTCGGCTTTTTCTACCTGCCATAATGGCTGGAGCAGAATGAGATCTTTCTACTATGGGTTCCAAGTCTCTGTCTTGAATGAAGCAGTCTGAGCGTGATATCTTGCGTAAATCTTGAGGATAAATATCGTCGAGCCAGTTACCGATCTTTTCCAGGTATGAAGGACGAGGTCGAGTCTCCTTTATATACTCAAGAAGAGCAAAGGATGGACGAACACTCCGAATAGGAGACGGTTGAAACATGACCTATTAAGACGTAAGTCAGTTCATGAAGAAGAGGCTATCATGGTGTTTCGTCGATGATGAGGTCTTGTTTGACTTGATGGGATTCTCACATGGTCGTTGATGTTCTGATAAACGACTTCATAGCAAGCTTTCTTCAACTGCTGGGCCTCTGATGGAGAGATCGAGGGAGGTCTGCTGGCGGCGCGCTTCCTGGGGTTGTCTGGCATGGCCTGAATAGGCGCTGGTTCTAGCGAGTCGTCCATGATGAGAGCCTAGATAGAGAGAAATACGGGGGTATGGAGAATAGAGGTCAAGAGCTCTTATTATATGATTCTGAGAGAGTACTGCCGTGAGTGAAGAGGAATGTTCAAGTCAAGTTTGGTCAGTCTGATGAGAGTGGTTCTTTGGGCCCTGACAGTACAGGCCATTCTCGAAGCGGGGGATGAAGCAATGTGAAGACATGCATTTTGTCCCTCGTGAGAAGAAGGGCCTGCAGTATTAGCAGTGATTCAGAAAGAAAATTGTAGTGTAGTTGAATCAGGACGTGAGGTTCATCGTTCGGACCATACGAAGTTGTCAGTGGTTAAGTATTGAGCCACTACACGTTATACAAATAACCACATCAAGTGCCACTTAACGCCTCTGATTCAACAACCTATAGGAACCACACGTTAAAACCGTCTCTGCAAAAGCCACATGATTCTCGACCCCGTGAAACATGCGAAGAGCATCACCAGGCACCGTCCTACCAACATCAGCATTGGAGCGCAGATTGTTTTAGCCTTGTAGACGACGCCAATCCCTGCGGTAGATCCCCCAGATAAAAGGTCCGAATTGGTTTTGGATACGAGTGAGAAGTGCCAATCTTTGGACCGTTGGGAATTAGACACGCGTTGCATGAGCCTCGGCCGGCCCGTACCGCACTTTGACGCCCGCAACGTGAGCTGTTTTGCTGGGTCCACTAATATTTTAAAGTCATGATGCCTCAATTATAGTTTCGTTGTTTCTGTCATGATCGAGATACAAAGATGGTCGGGGTGGAACTGAGGGGACTATACGTTGCCTTCGAAGTCACTCGACTGGACGACATCGCCTGTCTCTTCCAGTCCAACATGCCCCTAAGACTAAAAGAATAACATATCAAAGAATAGCTCCTCTTGTCTCAAATTCCTCTCTTTACTGTTCTCGGCCGACATTGTCCGGCTTTCGGATCCTCAGGTCCATGATCACTCTAACCCCCACTCACAGCCCTAAATTTCGCAAATCGCCCCCCCAATCTCCGCTGTCAGATCCAATCTAACTCCACTGTCGTCATTGTCAGCGACTCCGGCGCTTCCGTCACATTTTCCCCTTCATGCAGTCTCTTTTTTTCTTCCCTCCCTTCCCTTCCATTCACTTCCCCTCAAAACAACCACCCACAAACCAGAAAATAATCCATATCTCGGAGTTATCATATCATCGTCCTCCGATCTCGCTTGACCCCATGGCCTCTACTCTAGAAGCTACCGGCGCTCCAGCCGCTCGCATCACCTCTACTGCTTCCACCATTGCCGACTATGCCTATCCTTATGGCCATATGGGCCACTTGACGCAGAAGCAGGAGGAGGCCTTTGTCCAGTTTAAGAAGGTCCTTGAGGAGAGGGGTCTTTTGAAAGTTGGACCTCCCCCTTCTCATGATGATCCTTCGATCTTGTAGGTTTTTATCTGGGGCGATTGATAAGCAGGGTTTCTAACGGCTTTTCTTTGCAGGCGATACTTGCGCGCGCGAAGATGGAATGTCGAGGATGCGTATCAGCAGTTCAAAGAGACAGAAGATTGGCGCAAGGCAAACGATCTGGACGTTTTATACGACACCATTGACCTAAGCGCCTATGATTTCAGCCGTCGTCTCGTATGTCTCGCGGAAAACTCGGAATTGTTAAGCGCTGACTCTGTATCTGCAGTACCCCCAATGGACCGGCCGACGCGACCGTCGCGGAATTCCCCTCTACGTTTTTGAAGTCAAGACGCTCGACTCCAAGACCGTCCACGAGTATGAAAAGGTCGGCGCATCGAGTACCTTTTCCAAAGCCAAGTCCGACGGCAAGACGCCAAACGGTCTGCTGCGCCTATTCGCTCTGTACGAGAACTTGACGCGCTTCAACATGCCCTTCTGCACACAACTCCTGGACCGCGACCACCCCGAGGTTCCTATTACGTTGAGCACAAACATCGTGGATATTTCGGGCGTGGGGCTGAAGCAGTTCTGGAATCTCAAGCAGCATATGCAGGCTGCTTCACAACTGGCCACGGCGCATTACCCCGAGACGCTGGATCGCATATTCGTGATTGGTGCGCCGGCGTTTTTCAGCACTGTTTGGGGTTGGATCAAGCGCTGGTTCGATCCTATCACTGTGTCCAAGATTTTCATCCTTGGTCACCATGAGGTGAAGAGTGTGCTGGAGCAGTACATTGAGCCACGGAACATTCCTAAGAAGTATGGTGGTGAGCTTGATTACAAGTTTGGAGAGCTCGGTAACCCTGACCCTAACTGGGAGGGTGTCGTCGAGTTTGAGAATGGCCACAAGACGTTCCCCAGCGGACCGTTATTGTGGGAGGAGGACTCGAACGGGAGACTAGTCTGTATGGCGAGGGGTTCCAAAGACGGCCAGCCTCGAAACGAGAGAATCTGCACAATCCCCAAGACCTTTGGTCTCGCGCCCGTGGTTGAAATCTCCAGCGGCGAAACAGCTGTCGAAACACCAGCGGAAACCACCGACGCCGCTGCCGTCAACGGTAACGGCCACCCGGTATCTCCCCAAGGCACACATGACGATGGTGTTCAGACCGATGATGCTCTTTTGAGCGGTGATGTGAATGAGAAGCTGAAGCTGCAGGACAATAAGCCTGTCGCGGCACAGACGACTGCTGTGTGATGAAGTATTATATCCTAGAGATGGCGAAGACTGGCATACCCTGGAAGCAAATTTTGGATAAGATGTTTGACGTATGAGATGGATTTGTGTTGGTTGAAGTATGCGGAGCATATCCCTTTCTGTTTGGCGTATCATGTTTAGAACCTCCCGTTGAAGCGGTGATATGGTTGTGAATATATAATCGTGATTCCCTGTTAATATTGAATAATTGACTTCTTTATTCTATTCCCTAGATCCTTGGTATTCTATGTCCTGTGCTTCTATTGAAGTGCAACCTGCCATATAGAGTTTTGGCGTCTATTCCATCTCTGGAACCTCTGGTCTCGTAATATATCCCCTTCTATTCCTCCACTGCGTAACACCCCTCTCAAGCTCCCCCCACGAAACCCCATCTCTAACAAGACACATCGTCACCCCCAAACTCTCCGTATCTCTATTCCTCGGCTCATCATCAAAGAACAGCATATCCTCATACTTGATCCCCGTCCTCTTCTGCAAGCTCTCAAAGTGCTTGATCTTGCACCCTGGATAAATCTCAAGCAGACCCTCAAACACATCCAGCGCCTTCTTTGGCTTTCCACCCTCTGGTCCAGTGACATGTAGCATCTTTAACAAGTCACGCGCAAGGCTCGGTGCAGAAGTTCGCGATGCCACGCCGATTTTTATACCGGCGCGTGGTAGAGCGTGGAGAATGGCGGGGACGTCGCTGAAGAAACCGTAGTCTTCGCCGTATCGGTCTGTGGCGCTTGTGTGCGAGGAGTTGGGTTTTAGGGGTGGTGTTACGTGGGTATCGACCCAGAATGGCCAGAGGGTGTAGTCGAGATCGAAGACGATGAGTTTCGGGAGTGGGAGGGAGGGATCGGCGAGGGAGGATGGCAGGGCTGTGGATGATGTTGATGCTGTTGAGATTGTGGAGAGAGTTGAGGTGCTCGGGGGCAGAGGGTTTTTGGAGAGTTTCTTTGGCATTTTGAGATTATTGAGGCGGAGATTAATAGAGAGAGGAAGAGTTGGATGTGGTGATGGAAGGTTTTGGTGTTGAGAAGTTGGGACTTTTTTGTTATCGCC